TTACAGAAAGCTTTTCCGCCCAAAGCGCTGCTCGCGCGTCAAAAGTGAGAATAAAATGCTCCCCATCCCTTATGATTGGGACACCTCACATAAATCAGACGGTCTCGGCTTTCAGCGAGCAGCCATTGCCCAGAACCGAGAGCGGGCGTGCTGCGCTTTCGGCTCCGGCTCAGCTCCACAAGCCCGCAAATGGCGGCGATCTGAACCCGGAGGCCATTCGCCCCCTAACGGCTCACATAGCCGCGTGGGAAACTATCCCAGGGATTTCAGAATAGGTTCTGAGCACAATAAAGCAGGGCTATACACTTCAATTCATTCACCGTCCCCCACGCTTTCGAGCCCGGACCGCGACGATAGTGAATGCGGAAGTAGCACACTTCACGCAGAAATAGCGAAGCTGCTGTGCAAAGGGGCTATAGAAAAAGTACCGCCTTCTCTGAGCGAGTCAGGCTTTTACAGCTGATATTTTCTCGTACCCAAGAAGGACGGAGCTTTCAGACCTATCATAGATCTGAGACATTGAACAAGGCGCTTGCAAAAAGACCGCTCAAAATGCTTACGACCAGAAAAATCCTCGCGCACGTTCGCCCGAGGGACTGGTTTATTTCTCTAGATCTGAAGGATGCCTATTTTCAGATTCAGATATTACCACGTCACAGGCAATTTTTGAGATTCGCCTTCGACGATCAGGTATATCAATACACCGTCCTGCCGTTCGGCCTGTCTCTAGCACCCCGTTTATTTACGAAGTGCATGGACGCGGCGCCCGCCCCCCTGAGAACTCAAGGGCTGCGAATAATGAACTGATATTGGCTGATATTGGCACAGTCAGAGACGGAACTGTTATCTCACAGAACAGTGCTTCTCAGTCACCTGGAAAGCTTGGGTCTCACGGTCAACTGGACCAAGAGCTCATTAATGCCCAGTCAGTCAATTCCCTTTTTAGGAATAGAACTGAATTCTGTGGCCATGACGGCTCGTTTGTCGACACAGCGCGCGCGCCGTGTTCGCTGCCTAGCCGCGTCTTTCCAGAAGGGCAACTTTCTCCCTTTGAAAACGTTTCAAATGATGCCTGGCTGTATGGCTTCAGCGGCAGCGGTGCTCCAGCTGGGCCTATACTGCGCATCCGCCCGCTCCAACGCTGGTTGAGTGCTCGCGCGTCTCGCCGAGCCTGGGTTTCTGGCGGCCTGAAAATCAGAGTGACTCAGACCTGCATAGCGGCTCTGCAGCCCTGGTTAGTAGCCAACTGGTACCAGCAGGGAGTGATGATGGGAACCATCTCTTATCGGAAAGTCATTTCGACAGACGCGTCCAACTCAGGTTGGGGCGCGCTGTTCGAAGGCAGACCGGCCTTTGGCCAGTGGTCAGACCAAGAGAAGTGTTTTCGCATAAACTGTCTGGAAATGATAGCGGTTGAGAACGCGCTGAAGCGCTTCCTCCCGTTCTAAATGAACGCATCCTTATTTGGTCCCAGATGCACCTGCGCTCGCTAAGGGCGGCGCATGTGCCTGGCCATTTGAACGACGCCCAGACAAACTGTCCAGGGACAACGTTCCCCCAGGGGAATGGTCCCTGCACCCCCAAACAGTCCAGAAACTGTGGCGCCTATTCGGCAGAGCGGCAGTCGACCTATTTGCGTCAAAAGACAACGCTCGTTGCCCGATGTTCTTTTCGAAGAACGAGGACGCGCTGGCCCAGGTCTGGGCCAGCCTCCCACTGTATGCTTTCCCTCCGGTCTCCGTGTTACCACAGGTGATCAAGAGAATCAGGGAAACGCGCCACTCGGTGCTCCTCATAGCTCCGCACTGGGAGAATCAGAATTGGTTCCCGGAACTAGCACGGCTGTCACAGTCAGCTCCGTGGCCTATTCCGATGAGGGCAGATCTCCTCTCTCAGGCTCGCGGCTTGATCTGGCATCCCCATCCAGAGCACTGGTCTCTGCACGCATGGTTGATCAACGGGTACTCGTTGCCCTGCCAGAAAGAGTGATGAACACGATCACGCAGTCTAGAGCTCCTTCCATGAGAAGGCTCTATGCGTCTAAATGGTCGGTGTTCTCCAAGTGGTGCACCGACAGAGATCTGGACCCGCGGACGTGCGAGGTTGCGCATCTGCTCACTTTCCTACAAGAGCTGATGGATAAAGGGAGGTCCCTATCCACGCTCACAGTTTATGTGGCGGCCGTGGCGGCGTTCGCAGAATCGACGCACGGCCAGTCACTGGGAAGACATGAGCTGGTCATCCGCTTCCTTAGGGGAGCTAGAAGGATGAATCCGCCGCACCCCCCGTCGGTTCCTATGTGGGATCTTTCCTTGGTCCTCGAGGCCCTGAAAGCCTTCCCATTTGAGCCACTAGACTCCGTGGAGTTAAAATACCTATCACTAAAAAACGTTTTTCTGACCGCGCTGTCATCAGTCAAACGTGTGGGGGACCTGCACGCGCTGTCAATCAGCGGGACATGTCTTGAGTTCGGGCCGAATGACTCTAAAGTCATCCTCAAACCTAGACATGGCTATGTTCCAAAAGTGATGGGCAGTCCTTTTCAGAGCGCAAGTCATTTCACTGTCAGCTCTGCCAGCGTCAGACAGTTAGACAGACGTGAATCTCCTTTGCCCGGTCAGGGCGCTGAGGTTTTACACTACGCGCTCCGCCTCTTTCAGGCGCACGGAGCAGCTGTTTGTTTCGTTTGGTGGGCGCACCAAAGGTCTCTCTGCCTCGAAACAGACTCTGTCCAGATGGATAGTGGCCGCTTACGCGTCAAAAGGTCTGAAATGCCCTCTGGGCATCAGGGCTCATTCCACTAGAGGCATGGCCTCATCGTGGGCGTGGTCCAGCGGGATTTCTATCCACGACATATGTGTAGCGGCGGGCTGGAGCTCCCCGTCTACCTTTGTCAGGTTCTATAACCTAGAAGTTCCCGCCCTGCAGGCTAGACTTCTGTCAGTCTAAGCGAGTTGTGCGTTCTGCCCAGATATATCATGCTCAGACCACTCTCACGTGACTCATGACACTCTCTTGGTTGAGCTGCACTAGTAGGGATGTGCTATATGCTTACACAGACCAGTGCTCTGCTCTGTATTCCCTATGTGTGCTTATGTACGAGTGATGGCCCGCGTGGCTGGCCACCTTATTTTTCCACTTATTGGGTTCCCCGAGAAACCTCGGCGACTCATGGGTGGTTGCTTGGCGCCTACGGCGTTGACAAAAAGTTCCCGTAGCGTAAGCTAAACTTACGCAATACGAGAGAACCTCTCGTAAGAGAACGTACTCGGTTACTAACGTAACCTCGGTTCTCTCTAGAGAGGGAACGAGTATTGCGTAACCGGCCGTGCTCGCGCCACGAGCGACTTCGCTTCAGTCGACGAAAACCAGGGAATTCAGCCTACAGCCCCTTCTTTTATACGCTAAGCCACGCCCATTCTGGCGGGCTATGACGCTATGAAGGCGCGGGCGCCCTTCATTGGGCATGACGTCACGCGGGGCTCACTGGTAGGCTGCAGCAGATGCCCGCAGGGCAGCCAATGAGCACGCAAGACTGCCTGCTCTAGGTCTGCTAGCTGCTGCACTGCGTTGACAATGAATACAAAATTAAGGATAATTTTTTGGCTTCATTATCTCGAGAAGATGAATCTTTCCCATAGCGTAAGCTAAACTTACGCAATACTCGTTCCCTCTCTGCAGTATCCGGAGGAAGTTAAAACCTCATTTAGTGGAGAAAAAAACCCTCACTACAGCCAGTTACAGTTTTTCTGTATTGCTAAAACACTTAACTGAACCAAATTCTCAATAGTCGAAACCAATTTGTCGAATAAATCACTCTTTCCGTAAAACATTAAACAAGTTCAGGTATAAACACTGTTTGCAAATCTCAGGCACTCCTTTTTCAAAACTCTAAACACATTCTCACTCACTAAAACACATTTTGCACTGTGACATATGTTTCGAAATGCAAAACACAGGCAGGCGAAAGTTAAGCACAACTGCAACACAGTTGTCATCGTTTACACACGACTCAAAATTGTTCACACTTATTTCTAATGATGTACATAATACAATTCAGAGTCCCAAAATTTACTCAAAATGTTGCACTGAATGTTGATACCAACAATGGATGGAAACAATATAAGAGGGAGAGAAGGAAGAGGATGAGTAAGAGGAGGTGAACACGCAGGAAGAGCAAGGTGTGGAGAATGTTGCTAAGGCTGGATCTGCTTTAGGGGTTTTCCCTTTGCCTGCAGAGATGACATTGTCTGAGAAGTGGAGAAACTCCTCCGACCGGACCAACATGAAGACATGATGCTGAAGCAGAATCAAATCTCTCTCACTGACCTTGATTTTGCAGTTGCACAACTCTGAGTGTACTTTACTGTAACATGCTTTTCGTTTTACAGCTTTTACTGTAACCTTTTTGGCTTTTGCAGTTGGGTCACTGTATTTTCACAGTATGCAAGTGGTGAATATACAGACATTCAATAGGCCAATGTATACTATTCAATATTCAGTACAATACTATACTTGCAGTGGATGTATACAATTTATTCACCTTACTACTGTAAGTTGTCATATAGGCTATACTTTTTTACGTAATTACAAAATTTGTTACAATATACTTTTTTCCTGTAACTGCATGCTTTGGATTCTGTGTTCTCCATTTTTTGATGTAGTGTCTAATGAATGATCTGTGGTGTTTGTCATTTTGACTCGCTGTGTGATCTGAGAGCATTGTTTGATTTTGAGCACAGATAAAATGGTTTTGAGGCAATTGTTTGATTTTGCCAGAAGAGTCAGCGGTTCTGTGAATGTGGTTTGAAATTTTGTTTTTTTGTTTAAGGTTTTGAGAAAGTGAGTGGTGGTTTCAAGAAATGTGATTTATAGCAATTCAGAAAAACTGTAAATAAAGTTTCGGCGGTCAAAGCCACACGAGGGCGCCGCTGACACTGCGAATGATCAGGCTTCTACACTAACAATCAGTCTTGTGTGCTCTCTCGGAAACATCCATAAATTGAGTTTTCGTTTGGGAAAGGTTGGGAGGAGGGTCGATGCCGGGAGCCATTTATAGACATAAAGAGAAGGGAAAGAGAAAGAGCATAATAAACTTGACATATCCTTTTTAGTTTGTACAAACGTACGAGTACAACCAGGAGTGCACGAACAGAAAAACGCAAAATTATAGCACCACGTTTTGGAAAGGATACCAACACTGAGGAAAACCAGACACATGCCATTGCTATAAATAACAGTACATAACACAGTGGTAAGTTTACTCTCTCCATGCTTCCAAGATTTTGGAAACTTGTTTTAAGAGTCAAGTTTATAATTCAATGCTCAGTTTTTGCAAAACATAACAAAGAGAGATTTGTAGGCTAATAGCCCACATAACTGGCAACAGTTTCTTTTCTCGTTATCAGTTGATTTTCTAAGGTGTGTGTGTATACTTTGGTGGCATACGAAAACTTTGCATAAGAAACTAAATTGACTGCTTTAGCTTATTGATTTTTTTATTATCTTGTGTTGAGGGTCGTGCGTATCATTTTATGAGATTTTATTAAAGTAGAATATCAAATTACACAATCCAATGCAATAATGAACATTAAAATAGGCTATAGCTGATTAATTACGGCATTTTACAATTGGCAATCTCAAGTCCGCGGTGTTTTTTCCTTTAGGAAACTGAAGTGCGCACGCGGCACTTCTTCCAGTGAGCTGCTGAGCACGCGGTAGAAACTGCAGCCAGTGTGAAGGAAACAGCTGTTTGCGTGTGTGTGTGGTCCTGTCTTGGTAAACCATACGTCATGGGGACAAAATGTCCCCACAAGGATGGCAATACCAGAAATCTTTGATCTTGTGGGGATGTTGGTCCTCATGAGGAAAAGTGGTGATAAATCACATTAGATACTAAAGGAAACTATAGGAAACTACTATAGGAAGTTACTATAGGAAACAACATGTCTTTTTGAAAATGTAAAAATACAGAATGTTTTCTGTGATGGTTGTTTAGGGGATAGAATATTCATATTGTAGCCTACAGTATAAAAAATATTGTCTATGGAAAGTCCCCATAAAACATGGAAACCCAAAGTGTGTATTTGTGTCTGAAAGAGAGAGAGAGAGTTGAGCGTCATTACTTTGGAAGGCTGCTTTTGACCTTTTGAGACTCAGATATCTTGTCTTCTTGAGTGGAAGCATTTCTTCATAAATTGCCCCAGCTAAGTAATGTTTTGCTATGTTCATACGGTATTAAGCTATGAAAAATGTTTCTTAACGTTCTTTGAAAGTTCAAAAAGTAAATTGTGTTTCTTGGTTATGCAAGCGTTAACGGAACATTCAATTTTATCAATATGCAAACATTATGGGAACATAAAACATTACTTTCAACGAACATTCTATTAACATTAGCTACTGGAAGGTTCATAACTTTGACAGAACCTTGACAGCACGTTAAGTTCTGAGAACGATGTTAGCTGGGGTTGCACAAGTTAAACTTTTGAATTGTTAATTAGGAAAACACTTTTGTACGGAGCCCCTAAAGGGACATTGTGATGGAAAAAATATGAGATGGGAGAAAAAAAAATTCATTCAGTCGCAAAGAATTGAAAAGTTTCTTGGGTGAATGCAGGCACGGCGCCAGGATTCCAGGTTTGGATGGGCCAGACCAATTGTGGGTGGGCCTTAAATTAAAAACGTTATCCAATCACTGTTTAACCTAATAAAAATTACTGACTAATATGACTAGTACGTAGGCTAGATTTTAATAGCTTGGTGCTCTTTAAATATTTTGTTGCATTGTTACAAAGTTTCGGTGCATATGGAGTCAGGACGGACCTATCCGCGATCGCTCTCCTTGGTCCTGACCAAAGAAGAGCGCTTTGGAATCTCCATTACGCATCATACCTGGGCTGCGTTTCCCGATAGAAGAAAAAGCGGTGTTCTTTATAAAAGAAGCACTTCAGAAATAGTTGGAATTGCATTTATTAGGACTCATGGTATAGGCAGAGGCGCTGGCGCCCTGCAACGGCGCGGGTCGCGCTAGCAGCGATAGTCGTACTATAGCGGGTGGCAGAGACGAAGATGTGCTAGGTGATGTGGATCTCAGCTTTCCTTCATCTCCTGGTTGCAGCGATGACGACTGTACGTGCGCGTTTAAGGTACCTAAACAACGACTGTTGCAACATTGTCCTTTACTGGAAATTATTTTCACACTTTCACAAGCTAATGATAAGCGCTGAAGCTGCAATATTTCTGGAGACATGGAGTGGGTAAAACATTATTTTGACCACTTGAGTTTTGTTTTGTAGAAAGACATTTTTTTTTAAAAGATTTTCGTTTCGTATAAATTGTATCTTAATTTTGATCAAAGTTTTATCAACCAATTGCCCGTATTTAATAAATAAGAAGCAATATATAGCAGACAATGTAATAAGGCGCCGGCACGATCACTTGCATTGCACGACAACTGGAGCATGTTTCCGCCACAGTAAAAAATAAAAAATGTAATTGCGATTTTTTAATCTCACAATTCTGACTTTTTATCTCAGAATTACATGATAAAGCGGCAATTGCAGGTTAGCTATAAAGTCAGAATTGCGTGATATAGGCCTAAAGTCGCAACTGTATGTTATTAAGTCAAAATTGCGTGATATAAAGTGCGAGAAATATAGCTTGAAATTCTGACTTTTTTTCACAGAATTGCATGTTTATATCTCGCCATTCTGACTTTATAATACGCAATTGAGAGATATAAAGGCAGAATTGCATGATATAAAGTCGCAATTGCGTGTTACAAAGTCAGAATTGAATTGTGAGATATAAACTATTCTCGGGTAAAAAAAAAAAAAAAAAAGCAATTGCGACTTTATTTCACGCAATTCTGACTTTATAACACGCAATCGCGGCTTTTTTTTACGCAATTCTGAGTAATAAAGTCAGAATTGTGAGATGTGTACTCGCAATTGTGAGATAAAAAGTCGCAATTATCTTTCAAAATGTTTTATTCTATGGCGGAAACAAGCTTCCATAGTATAGGCTACTATAGCCTATAGTCCTATTTAAGTAGCCTAATTAAATTAATATAAAGGGGCGATTTGCCCACTAATGGCTTAAATGAACAACTAGGGGAAAAAAATAGTCGGAGGCCTTATTCCACATATCTTGGAAGTTCGAGCCAGCAGGCCATTCTGGGTTGAGCGCGCGACCCTGCGGAATGAGTGAGCAGAGCGGAATATTCAGAAATGCGCTCTCCGCTTACATGCTCTGATCGGAACAAATCCGAACACTGTCTGCTGAACTTGCGCAGAAACATCAAAATAGACATAACCAGCTTTTTAAAATTGTTTTTAAAACTAAACATTTAGACTATTTTAGCACAAATTATGTGCTTATTGGCGATTTTTTTTATAATTATTGACAAAACATTTTTGAAGAAAAGTTTTGGGTGGGCCTGTTGAAAAGTGGGTGGGCCTAGGCCCGTCAGGCCCACCCATAACGCCGTGCCTGGGTGAACGTAAGCATTTTGTAAGCAAATACAGAGTTTCTCATATTATTTAGTTAGTAGCCTAGTATTGCATGTTTAAAAACATTGTGTTAGAAGAACATTTTATATTTTTAGTAATCCCAGAGCAAGCATGGGAAATCTGAGAAACCCTTTTACAGTGTGCACCAGGGAAATAAAATATTTGTATTCAAGGTCAAGACTATAAATTACAACAAGAATACAGATAAGTTGTGCTTCTCATCAACAGTAAGCAAATCATATTTTGATTCAGTTGAATGTGTTCATTCAGTAAAGGATTCGTCAGACTGATTCAACCCGGTAACTCCTGAGTTTGTTCCAAATTCAGCAACTGACTCATACTAATGGTTTGAATCAGACTAAACAGGTCACACTTCATGTAAAGAGGAGCAGGAATCACTGTTTGGTTCTGCAACATATTTGTGGTGTTTCATGTCAAAAATATATGTAAATAAATACAAGTTACGGCATCAATTAACTTGTTAGAATTTACTTGACTCATTTGCTAAAACAATTGCAAATGGAACTTTTTGTCTGTAGGTGTGCTGTATAGGTCCTTCTCAAAAAATTAGCATATTGTGATAAAGTTCATTATTTTCCATAATGTAATGATAAAAATTTAACTTTCATATATTTTAGATTCATTGCACACCAACTGAAATATTTCAGGTCTTTTATTGTTTTAATACTGATGATTTTGGCATACAGCTCATGAAAACCCAAAAATCCTGTCTCAAAAAATTAGCATATCATGAAAAGGGTCTCTAAACGAGCTATTAACCTAATCATCTGAATCAACTAATTAACTCTAAACACCTGCAAAAGATTCCTGAGGCTTTTAAAAACTCCCAGCCTGTTTCATTACTCAAAACCGCAATCATGGGTAAGACTGCCGACCTGACTGCTGTCCAGAAGGCCATCATTGACACCCTCAAGCAAGAGGGTAAGACAGAAAGAAATTTCTGAACAAATAGACTGTTCCCAGAGTGCTGTATCAAGGCACCTCAGTGGGAAGTCTGTGGGAAGGAAAAAGTGTGGCAAAAAATGCTGCACAACGAGAAGAGGTGACCGGACCCCGAGGAAGATTGTGGAGAAGGACCGATTCCAGACCTTGGGGGACCTGCGGAAGCAGTGGACTGAGTCTGGAGTAGAAACATCCAGAGCCACCGTGCACAGGCGTGTGCAGGAAATGAACCAGAACCACTTTTGAACCAGAAACAGCGGCAGAAGCGCCTGACCTGGGCTACAGAGAAGCAGCACTGGACTGTTGCTCAGTTTAGCATGTCATTCGGAAATCAAGGTGCCAGAGTCTGGAGGAAGACTGGGGAGAAGGAAATGCCAAAATGCCTGAAGTCCAGTGTCAAGTACCCACAGTCAGTGATGGTCTGGGGTGCCATGTCAGCTGCTGGTGTTGGTCCACTGTGTTTTATCAAGGGGAGGGTCAATGCAGCTAGCTATCAGGAGATTTTGGAGCACTTCATGCTTCCATCTGCTGAAAAGCTTTATGGAGATGAAGATTTCATTTTTCAGCACGACCTGGCACCTGCTCACAGTGCCAAAACCACTGGTAAATGGTTTACTGACCATGGTATTACTGTGCTCAATTGGCCTGCCAACTCTCCTGACCTGAACCCCATAGAGAATCTGTGGGATATTGTGAAGAGAAAGTTGAGAGACGCAAGACCCAACACTCTGGATGAGCTTAAGGCCGCTATCGAAGCATCCTGGGCCTCCATAACACCTCAGCAGTGCCACAGGCTGATTGCCTCCATGCCAAGCCGCATTGAAGCAGTCATTTCTGCAAAAGGATTCCCGACCAAGTATTGACTATTGAGTGTATAACTGAACATAATTATTTGAAGGTTGACTTTTTGTTGTTGTATTAAAAACACTTATTTTATTGGTCGGATGAAATATGCTAATTTTTTGAGACAGGAATTTTGGGTTTTCATGAGCTGTATGCCAAAATCATCAGTATTAAAACAATAAAAGACCTGAAATATTTCAGTTGGTGTGCAATGAATCTAAAATATATGAAAGTTTAATTTGTATCATTACATTATGGAAAATAATGAACTTTATCACAATATGCTAATTTTTTGAGAAGGACCTGTATATCAGTAAAATGTGCATGCTTAAGTTATTTTAAAAGGCATTAACTCTTAACAGGGAACAAATACTTTTTCTGTTTGAATGGAACTCAACGGAGGATATATTTTAATGCGCTGAATAAACATTTGTACAGAAACAGTTCATCATTTAATAAATTGACTGTCTTCTATTCTTCAATAAATATATTTTTGTTGTCGTTTACATTTAGACTTGGAGATTATCACAAAAAATAGTTTTATAAGATGAATTAAAAACAAAAAATTCTGACATTACTGTTAAAATACTGCTCATGCTAATGGTAATGGTCTGGTTTGTATGTACAACAGGATCCATGTTCATATGAGTGTTACAGCAATGATTATTCTATGTGTTGGTGAAATCAGATAAGATGCTCATGGTGTGCCATGAAGGTCTGTGACTATTTCTGGTGTCAACAGGTCAGGGGGTGTGTTGACATGTGCTCGATGGATAATAAAAATACTTCAGCCTCTTTTATCCATGTGTTGAGGACACGTATAAAAAGCTGAGTTCAGATTCAGAATATAAACAGATATAAATCACTTGTAAACTCGCAGATTGCAATGATTTGGGAGACAGACACTTGAACTTCGTCCTAAATCGCTGTCTCCCATTTCATTTTGCAAGATAGACTTGTGCTGTTGAAGAATGTGCTGAACAAAGAGGACAAGTACTGACATAAACTTGTAACAGTTCTGTTTCTGATTGCCCCCCCCCCCCCCCCCCCCTGAACTCATTTCATTTCTGTTGTTCACATACAAGTTATAGTGAATGAACTGGTCTCATTTTCTCAGTTTTCTCATTTAATAGTCAATGAGTGCTGGTTCTTGGTGTGAAAAGGTGTCTATTCAATTCATACTTGCTTAAATTCACATTGGTCTTCAGTTCACATTCTGGCATGAATGAGTCTAAGATGCAGGCTGTTTTTTTTTATTAATGTTTTGTGTTTGTTTTGTGTAAAACTTTGGGCAAGTAGGCTCTAAAAGTGTAGATCACTAAAGACTTGGACAAAAGTGTAAAATTGGGTGTAACTCATACAGGTACACTCAACTCAATCTTTTCTTGTTGTCGTTTAAATAAATTTGTACAGTATGTATGGTCTAATACTCTAATTCATTTTGTTATGCCTACTAAATGCAAAAAATTAAAAGGATTAATATGGATTTGAACTGTTGTTGGCCTTTTGCTAAACATTTGCATAAGGAATGAAGTTTACTTTAATTAAGCAGAGTAGTAAATAAACGGATGTTAATTAAACCATCTCGTTAGTGTCTGATTGGATCTAGATTTATTCCTCCACTTACAGAACAGGAAATGAAAATTATTCATGTACTTAGTCCCAAAGCAGATGCAAATTAAGTAAACTTCCATTTGACAAATTTAAACTTATTGTATAGGCAGCCCCATTTCCAGAAAAGTTGGGACATTTAGTAAAATCCAGTAAAATCAAGAATCTGTGATTTGTTCATTCTCTTGAACCTTTTATTTAACTGACAAAATTACAAAGATCTCCAAAGTTCTCACTGACCAACGTAATTGCACTTTGTAAATATAAACACATTTTGATTTTGATGGTTGCAACACACTCCAAAAAATGTTGGGACAGAGGCAAGTGAAAAGATTACAGAATATACTGTATATGTTTTGTAAAAAAGTCCACAATTTGCAGGTGAATTGGTAATAGGTGAATGTATCATGTTTGGCTATAAAAGATGATTGGCTTCTCTGTCTTTGCAAGCGAAGTTCATGGCTCATCACTTTGTTCCAAATATCATGAGAGAATTGTTAAACAATTCAAAACTCACATTTCTCAATGTAAGATTGCAAAGAATTGATTTCTTTCACCTTCTACCTTACATAATATTGTGAAAATCTCAGTACGTGTAGGGCAAGGCAGTAAACCTCTGTTGAATGTGCATGACCTTTGATCCCTCAGATGGCATTGCATGAGAAACTGTCATGCTACTGTGTTAAATACAGCCACATGTGTTCGGGAATACTTTGGAAAACCATTGTCACTTAACAGTCTGACGCTGCATCAAGAAATGCCACTTGAATCTCTTTTACACACGGAGAAAGCTATCAGTTCTTTGCAGAGATGCTGCCGAGTTCTCTTGGCCCGAGTTCATCTCAGATGGTCTAAAACTCAGTGGAAATGTGTGCTGTGGTCAGATGAGTCCATGCTTCAGCTTGTTTTTGGGAAGAACCGATATTGAGTTCTTAGTCCAAAAGATAAAAGGGACCATCCAAACTTTCATCAGCAACAGGTTCAAAAGAAAACATCTGACATGGTATGGAAGTGCATCAGTGCAAATGTTATGGGTGACTTGCATGTGTGTGAAGGTACAACTGATGTGGAGGCATATATTAGGATTGTACAGAGACATAAACTGCCTTCAGGGTGACATCTATCCTGGGAAGCAAGACAATGCCATGCAGGCCTCATTCTGCACATGCTAAAATGGAGGGATTTTTAGACACTCTACACTGTCGAGTGGATGTGCTTGGCTGCCTGCCTGCAGTCCAGATCTGTTTCTTATTGAAAATCTATGGCCCATTATAAAAAGGAGAATCAGACAACGACGAACACTGACTGTGGAGCAGCTGACTTGTATATCAGGCGAGATTGGTCAAAAATTCCATGCAACAATCAGTATTCTCAGTCACCAAATGATTTAAAATTGTAATTAAAAAGAAAGGTGATGTGACACAGTGGTAAACATGCCTCTGTCCCAACATTTTTGGAGTGTGTTGCGGCCATCAAAATCAAAATTCGTTTATACACCGTAAAAGCAAAAGTTGCTGCCTTCAATTTTTAAGTACAATCAACTTTTGTCATTTCAACTTAAATTACATTAAACACTTACATTAAAAACGAATTGAATCTTGTATAACTTATAAAAAAGCTTAACTTATTTTGATGAGTTAAAGCAATGTAAAAACATATGTTGTCATAACTTATTGATCATATCATTTTTTACAGTGTATTTACAAAATACAATTAAGCTGGCCATGCAGTGAAAACATTGGAAATTCAAATGTCGAACACTTAAGGATAGTCCTGTTCTTAATGAACCGTATTGAATTGTTGTATTAAAATCATGTGAACTTGTGAAATCATGTGGTTTGTTTCATTTTCCAGTGCAATGGCTCCGTCACTCTCGCAGGCCTACAGGAGGCGCTGGTGGATGGCTGTCACGTCAATCATAGAAAACCTGCTCTTCTCTGCCGTGTTGTTGGGTTGGGGTTCCCTTCTTATCATGCTGAAGAACGAGGGCTTCTACTCACACCTGTGTTCAGGTACATGATTAGTACACATCCACACTGACAGGCAAAGTCTTACTCTGAGTTGTTACTAGCAGGTATAGGAAACAACAACATGCAGAGCTTTAAAGTGTTTGACTGTCTATTTCTTCCTCTGATACTATTAGAAAATGCCACAGAGAGTCACACTAACGCGAGTTTGACGGAGCGGCCGATTTGGCTGAGCTGTATTGAACAGGAGGAGATTCTGAATCTGGGCTTTACGATTGGCTCGTTCATCATCAGCGCAGCCACTCTGCCACTAGGTGTCCTGATGGACAAATTCGGGCCACGTCCAATCAGATTGTTTGGCAGGTGAGAGACATCTATCAGTATAAAACTTGAAAAGACTTTAAGTTTGAAGGTGTTCATCTGCAGTGCGTCTGCTGCATGTGAACATGAAATTATATGTATGAATATCCATCACTATCCATCACTCTTGCCCTCTGTAACCCACATCATGGTCACTTCCTCCAATTCTCTGTTTTTATGACTCTTGTAGTTCATGTTTTGCATTCTCCATGGCTTTGATTGCAGTCGCATCTTATGATCCAAAAGGTCAGTATGTAATGCTTATTTATGCTGATTTTATTGTTAAATGAACATTCAGATCCAACGTATAATGAAACATATACCACAGAAATAATATATATATATATATATTTATTGCTAAATCGTTTCACATGTCTATAATTAGTGATTCTGTATTTTTAATGTATTATAAGTAATATAAGCATGGTTTCTGTTTTCCCTCAGTGTTATCAGCTCTCATATTTCTTGCTGTCTCCATGAATGGGTTTGGAGGAATCTGTCTAACCTTCACGTCACTAACAGTAAGACACATTCACACATGTTCACATAGATAAAAAAAAAAGAATAAATAGATACAAAATAGACTGACTTACAGCAATCTTACATCAATTCAGTTCTTATACTGCATATATACCCAAGATAACTACCATAATGATAACTATGCAAAGTTGCCATTCGAGCTGTTCTATATTCTGAAGCCGAGTTTGAATGTGTTTGGGTACATTATTATATCATGAACACTGTTTCTTAGTGGGTGCATGGTGATCATGTTGACACTGGACTCTATTGGTGTTTACATGTGTATATGTGTCTTTATACACAACCGGTCAAAAGTTTAGAATAACTTTTTAATGTTCTTGAAAGAAGTCTCTTATGCTCACCAAGGCTGCATTTTAAAAAAAGAGAGAAGAAAAATACAGTAAAAAACAGCAATATTGTGAAATACTTTATTATTACAATTTAAAAGAATGTTTTCTATATTAATATATTAATGTATTCAGCAAATCTGAATTTTCAGCATCATTACTCCAGTCTTCAGTATCACACGATCCTTCAGATCTAATATTCTGATCTGGTCTTTAGAAACATTTCCTATCAATGTTGAAATCAGTTTTACGGCTTAATATTTTTGTGTAAGCTCTGATCATTTTTTTTTCAGGATTCTTTGATGAATAGAAAGTTAAAAAGAACAGCATTTATTTGAAATATAATTTTTTTGAGTGTCTTTACTGTAACTTTTGATCTATTTAATGAATCCTTGCTGAATAAAAGTATTAATTTCTTTAAAAAAAAACATTAAGCAGCTGTTATTAACTGTTTCAGCATTGATAATAATAAGAAATGTTTATTGAGCAGCAAATCAGCATATTAGAATGATTTCTGAAGGATCATGTGACACTGAAGACTGGAGTAAGGAATAAATTACATTTTAAAATATTTTTTGAATAGATATAAAAAGAATTTTACAATATTGCTCTTTTACTGTATTAATAATCAAATAATCAAAAAATAATTGGCGAGCATAAGAGACTTGTGTAAGCTGAAATGTAAGTATTGTAAGTCTTTGGCTGATCACTTCAGTGCTGCACATGTTTTCCATCCCCTCACTCTACATTTCAGCATGCAGATCAGCCAATCACAGCACAGTTCCGACTTCACGCCCTCAACTCCGCCAAGCCCACCTTCTCTCAACACAGCACACATTAACAACCACTGTCCTTGCTTTCTCTCACGCACTTGTGTCCCCCTTGCTTTTACCATACCAAAAACAACTGCGCCAAACAAATCTTCCGTAACCTACCATATATTAATGGACCATACATTTATTATAAGAATGAATCTAGATTATATTTCGTAATTCACTTCATGCATGTGGGTATTTGTTCCCATTTTACTTCCATAATACAATGTAGTTCTGAGTACAACAGCATATTCAAAAAGCAAAAATGTATGACAGGAAATGATTTAATTCATCTGGGTTTGATTTGAGGGTGAAAAGAGTTTGTTTCTTGGTAGCTTTATTAAACTGTGTGTGACTTGTAAATGTGCCAGATTATTTGCCAATTAGATCATTTTGTCTTATAGACATGCAAACATTGCCACAATGTTCCCTTCTAGCTTACCAACCTCACTGAACTCTTCCACCCACCTCTCTCTGTCCCGTATCCTCTCTCTCTGTGATCTTTGTGAATTTACTGCTGGCATGTCCTGGCTGTCAAATTTCATAGTTTCATAATGGCACACACACACAAACACGCACACACACGCACACACACACACACACACACACACACACACACACACACACACACACACACACACACACACACACACACACACACACACACACACACACACACACACACACACACACACACACACACACACACACACACACATACATACACACACACAGAGAGAGAGAGAGTCATATTATCCTATTTAAACTGAGACAAACACAAACAATTGGCATGGCAAGAGGCTGTCAATGAGAAACAGTTAATTACCAGCTCTTAAAAATAACCCTACTGTTTTAGCGTATAAATAGTCAGTAAAATGAAATACTTTCAGGAAGTTGACATGTCCTTCCGTGTGGCATACTGTATACTCCATCTGAAACTATTTAAACAGCACTTTGCTACTTTGTTTATATTATATTATACATTCAATGTACCTCATATTAATTAAACATGATTCAGGTCTTTATCTAAGTTTAATTCAGGACGTGTGTGTGTGTGTGTGTGTGTTTATCTGATTGGAGTGTTAGAGCAGTGTTGGCACAGCAGGAATAATACTTAGGTCAGCATTTTGTTATGGCTGTTGCTACCTGTGCTTCATAATACCCACACATGTATTATGATATACTAAGTGAATCAAATAAATCAGGGAACGTTTGATTTAAATTTAGAAAGAAAGATGGGCAGAATGTTTGATAAATAACAAATGACTGCTGCAACACGTTTGGAAACATTTATGCCATATCTTTTAGTAAATCACTCTTGTAATTGTGTACACATTTACAGTATTTATTTATTATTACAAATTACAGAATAATCATAAATACATAAATAAAATAATATGCTAAAATAAAATAGAATTGGGTTTTTATAATATATTATTACATGTACCAATTATATATAACTATTAAATAAATAAAATAATATAAATGTATTTATTTGTTTATTTATTTAATGTACCACACATAATTACAAATTAAATATAATTATATATAATACATATATTTAAATAATAATAAATAAATTGCATAGCATATAAATTATTTATTTATTATGTACAAATCATCATCAAACTTTTATTTCTACTTGTATAAGCAGTAGCGAACACCCTCATAAACAGTGGAAATCTTGAGATGGTACAGAGAGTCTTCACATGTTGTGTAGCTAAACGCCATTTCAAATTTCTAGCTCACAATGCTCTCTAGTGGCAACAGACACACACTACAGTTTGAATACATACTGTATATTATTAGTACATTAATTTATGATTCTCTCTTCTTGATTGATTTTCTCAGTTGCCGAATATGTTTGGAAATGTGCGCTCTACGATTCTTTCTCTCATGATTGGCTCCTATGCCTCCTCTGCTGTCACCTTCCCAGGAGTCAAGGTAATGTACAAACAACACTTGAACAACAGAAATACAAAGTATGTAGACATTATGCTCAAAGACTTTTCTCTTTCAACACAGCATTTGAACCAACATGTCCTCTCTCTGTCTTGTCCTTTAGCTGATCTATGATGTGGGCGTATCGTTTTCTGTGATCTTCTGGATGTGGGCAGGGTTCGCCTGCTTCGTCTTCCTCAACTGCTTTATTAATTGGCCGGGAGAATCTTTTCCTGCCCCTGAGGACATCAGATTCAAGTCAGTACTTGTCAAATACATACACTATATGCCTAATGCCTAAAAATATTCAGACATCTATTCTAAACATCACACCTATGTGTTATTTTAACAGTTTAATTGGTTACACTTTATTTTACAGTACTTATGTGTACTTGCAGTGTAGTTACCCAATAAAGTACTTGTAATATTAGGTAAATACATGGGTTAAGGTTAGTTTTAGGGGTAGGTTCAGGGTTAGTACTTAGTTATTACCCAGTTATTGTAACTGCTATAAGTACGTAGTATGTACACGGGGAACAGTACTGTAAATAAAGTGCTAACGTTTAATTTCATTTCAAAATGAGTGTATATATTACCATTCAAAGTTTGGAGTCAGTTAGATTTGTTTTAAATAAATCGATACTTTTATTCAGCAAGGATGTTGGAAATTGATCAATAGTGACAGTGAAGACTTTTATAATGTTACAAAAGGTTTCTATTTCAAATAAATGCTGTTCTTTGACACTTTCTATTCATCAAAGAATCCTGGAAAAGACCAAATCAGTGTATTAGAATGCGAACAGAAGAATGTATACAATATCTAGAGTCAAACCAAAATGTATTCAGACACCTTCAACATTTCTCACATTATCACAGTTTATTCGCTATAGTTTAGAAAATGGTACTAAAATATGACAAGACCTCAAGAGTTATCAAATCAGTTGATATTTCACTGGTTTTGGCCATCCTTCTGTTAGACTGTCTCACAAATGAATTAGGTCAAATACCTGTCAGTTGTCAGCTGTTAAATTGAAGTACACAATTAGATAATACCAATTTAGGTCAACCAATTACCAAGCAATGTTTAATTTTGCTCTGCCTGTGGTGTAAAAAGGTCGCAATAGCAATTAAAGAAAAAACACTTTTTTGTTTTTAATTTTTGGCCCCAAATTTTTTATACATTTTACTGGTAGTTATTTCTGGATATAATATGTCACAGTTTACTTTATTTTGCTATCCTCACTTATATAAATGAACTATAGTGTCCTGCATCCACTAGTATTAAAATATCAAAAATGAGATCTGGTTTCTGAATCATTTTTGATTTGACTGTATATATTAGCTACACAAGATATACACAAATAATTGTGTCTATTATTGTAAAAACTATTTTTATTTCATAGTACAATGGTGAAGTTGAGTGGTAAGGTAGTGGACGATGAGATGACCGACACTGATGTGAGTCTTAAAGAGCGAGAGGTGACCAAAAAACAACCTTCTACTGATGAAGCACCCAGCGATGGGACAGTAGCAGGGAACCAGGGTAAGTCTCACAAACACACTGTCCACAAAAAGGACAAAGAATTATGAAATTGATAATAAAATAATCCTGTTTGCGGGACAGCAGGATCCCCTCCCTTTCGCCGCTCTGTGTGCTCACCGATTTTCCTGTGGAGTATCATCACGATGGCGATGACCCAGCTCCGTGTCATTTTTTTCATGGGTGCCATGAATAAGATGTTGGAGTTCCTGGTTACCCATGGTGACCCTAACCGTGAGCATCAGCTGAATATTTGAGTCATTTGTTTGAATGAAATAGAAAAATGTGAAATGAAAAGATATGCTCTTTTTTAAATGTGTTTATGTAGCTTTGCTCAAGAGCAGATGGGTAAATGTAATTAGCAAAAGCTTATAGGCGTATGCTAGTTTTGCAGAAGCATGTGTTGTGGGTGGGTGGGTGTTTGTAAGTGGGTAGTAAACATAGTTTTATATTTCACTATTTTCCACCGCCTGTTTGTGTCTGTTTTAGCCTCAGAGGAGTTGGAGAAGGTGGCAGAGGACCAAGGTAAGAAAAATCCGGTTATTTTCACCTAAACAAGTTATGTTTCTTTTGGTTTTGTAACAAACAAAGAATTTGGACACTTACGACACACTTAATGTATGAAGATATTGCACTAGTAGGTGATAAAATATCAAACCAGATTGTAATTATTTTTGAAGGACACTTTTCAAGTGAGACATTTCACAAAAAAAAAGTTTGTTGACCTTGATACCAGTTGATAAAAGTTCCAAAATGGCTCAGAAAAGTTAAATTATTTCTGAGAAAAGATCTAGCATAATTTATTTGGTTTAATACATTGATGACTAATGCAATGTGTCAGTAAAAGTACCAGCGAGTATAATATCAGTATTAAATGGAGGCCTTATTCCGAAATTCAAAGAGCTGTGTGTGTGTGTGTGTGTTTGTGTGTGTGTTTGTTTGTTTGATTGTTTGTGTGTGTTCATGTTTTTCTATCCCGATGGGGATTATGAGTTTTTTTGAAAATGTAAAAATGCTGAAAGTTTTGTGTGATGGGTAGGTTTAGGGGTAGGGTTAGTGTAAGGGGATAGAATACCGTTTGTACAGTATTAAAACCATTATGTCTACAGAGAGTCCCCCAAGACATGTTTGTGTGTGTGTGTGTTTGTTTTTGTGTGTTAGTTTGTGTGTGTGTGTGTATGCGTATGTGTATGTGTGACAAAAATGTCCCCACTAAGGTGGCAATATCCAAAATCCTTGTCCTTGTGGGACATTTTTTTGGTCAAAAAAGTGATGTTTTTTTTAAAATGTAAAAATGCAATACGTTTTCTGTGATGGGTAGGTTCAGAGGTTGGTTTAGGGTTAGGGGATAGAATATACAGTTTGTACAGTATAAAAATCATTATGTCTATGGAAAGTCCCCAACATGTGTGTGTGTGTGTGTGTGTGTGTGTTATAGTGAGTCTCTACTCGTCCATCTTTGGCACTCTTCAGCTGCTCTGCCTGATGTCCTGTCCTCTGATTGGCTACATCATGGACTGGAGAATGAAGGAGTGTGAGGACGTGGTGAATTCAGCTGAGGGAGAAAAAAGGTGAATGTGGAGAAAGAGAAGGAGTGAAATGTTGAATTATTTGTATGTGTCAGTGATATGGTTACATTTTCCCTTTCATTGTTTTCTTCAGTCCATCTGGGCCTCCAAAGAGGGACAGAAAGATCCAAAAACTCACTAACGCCATCAGAGCTTTCATCTTTACTAATATACTGCTAGTCATCTTTGGCATCATCTCCCTCATAGACAATCTACCCATACAGGTTAGACACAAATTTGTCACAAATGTGCTTATTTGTTAAGAAATATTATTATTTATATAATTTACATAATTACATTGTTTAAATATTTAATACATTTTATATAATTTATATAACCTGGAGAATTTTATTTAATTATAGATTTTATACATTTTATAATTTATAATTTATATAATCATATATAACTTTGCACATCATTTTAATGTAATATATATATATATATATATATATATGTATGTATTTATAAAATTAATTTATATATATAAACTTTACACTCATATATGTTTATATTTTATTTTGAATATCAGATTTTCAATGTGGTATAATTTATTTGGTTTAACATATTGATATCTATTGCATTGTATCAGTGAATATAATATCAGTATTGGCAACATTATTATGGGAGATGCTTTATAGCAAATTTTATATATTTAATTTAATTTATATAACCTGCAAAATGTTAAGTACAAATTGTATATACTTTATATAATATATCTAATCATATATATCATTGAATTGAATTACTGTAAATACAATTTTCCGGGTTTAAATTACAATTCAACTTTATTTCGGACCCCAGTTTTCAGTGTGGTCTATGATATTTTTGACCACGCTATATGCTTATGCTGCAAAACAAATATTTTCAGCAGCTCCTCAAAGCAACAGCAGAAATGTGATGACTGTTAATATTATGTGTTACAGGTGGTGTCTTTTATTCTTCACACTGCAGTTCGAGGTTTTATTCACTCCTGCTGTGGTGGGCTCTATGCTGCTGTGTGAGTTTTACTTTATTTTTGAGCCGCTTAAAGGTGAAACTACCTGAACACAGCAAACAACAATATGCTCGCATGAAGATTAGGCTAATAATTCCTGCTAAAAAGGAGAAATGAGGGAAAAGAATCATTTGAATCAGTGTTAATTTAGTATCACTAATATACTATCAGAGATTTTATTAATATTTTGAATTAGATTCTATTTTTATATTTTATTTTTATTATTGTTATTTATATATATATATATAGTTTTTGTTAAGTCTTAGGTTGTATTTTATAAGACACTGTAAAAAAGGCCTGAGTAAGTTGGATATGTATAATATTTGCTATTTGTTTTATCTTCAAGCTGTTTATATGTGTATTTAGCTTCCCAACCAATCACTTTGGCACTCTGACGGGCATGCAGTCCATGGTTAGTGCTGTGTTTGCACTCCTGCAACAACCACTCTTCATGTGGATGGTGGGACCATTGAAGGGCGATCCTTACTGGGTGAGACATACATTGTTGAGTGTAATACACCATTCATGTGTGCGTGACAAATGTATATTTATATACACCAAAGTACCAAACATGACACTTTTTGAATCAACAGATCAACTTGGGTCTGCTTCTGTTCTCATTGGTTGGATTCTTGCTGCCAGGATACCTCTTCTACCATCGGAGACAACTTATAAAGGAGAAGGCAGCGCGCGATAGTCTATCACTGGCGCAGGAGAGCGTCAGCCTCAACCAAACAACCGAGTCTTCAAAATACCAAACCAACGGGAACGTCTGAGCTGGAAAACATTTATTAGTGAGATGTATGTGAATTATATATAGACCTAAATTATGACAGTTATTGTTCCATTGCTTTTCAGAAACTGAATTATTAGGCTTCCTGTTCAGTCACTGTAGTGACCTGACAAATATCAAACTGAAAAAAAAAAATCAAGTGAAAGTGCAATTTAAAGTATCAGCCAAGGCTTTGACTGTGTGACTGGGCAGGATGTATTTTCAAGGCTTTTATTATTACCTGCTCTACGTTGTTGACTTGTGGAGCAAATTGACAGACAAAATGAAAGGATGCCACACTTAGCATTTTGTTAGTTAACCTTAAAAGACTTAAAAGTCTCACCATCACAACGACATTTACAGTATTTTCGTGGTTGCACCAAACATAAAAACATTATGCTAGCGCCTAAAATATGTTGTTTGGCTGCGGAAACACTGTTTTGTCCGTTATTACATTGACACTTTGAAATGTCCAGGAAAATGGTTGTAAAACAACAAGGAGGGGTTAAATGTCGACAGTATGAAATCTAAATCTACTTTTTAATATTTGTTCGCAGTGTTATTGTGCATAATTTATCAGTGCATGTTATACCAAAGACAATCATTTAGTGTTTATTCTTTCAGAAAAACTTGATCCAACTTACTGAGATAGTTTCAGAAGGAAACGTGACCTCCATGTCTCATTCAAGAAGCCTCTGTCAGAGGTTTCACAATTGACCGTAAACTCGTATTCTACCATGATATGTTCATCATTATGTATGTGCGGGTCACAGACATATTCAAATTCACTAGTATGAATAGTCACTATTTTTAAATAATGTGTCATTTAGTGGAATTTTGCTGTATGGGTAAAACTAATGTCCCATTATGACTCAGGGCAGGTAAACGAGGCAGGGTTTCATGTAACGCTCACTTTACCATGACATGGATCATTTTCATTTTAAACCTTAGGTCTGGAGTAGATCTTTTCATTGTCAATAACTTTTTGTCACATCCCACTCTCACTAAACCTGATGGACATTCAGCTTTATGTGACAACTGGTAAATACAAAGTAGTGTTTTTATTGCAGATGCCGGTATTGCACTATATTTTTTTTGTTTCAAAAGTACTGTTCTGTATGTTACAGAGCTGTGATCATGTGCTCAAAAGTTTCAATGATTCTAGTGATTTTTTTCAACATAATGGTGCTTGCATTGTGCTCGTGACTGTAAATATGCCTGAAGGGGGGGAAAAATCTAATAAATACAAAGATTTTGTCACAAAAACCACCCCATTCTCGGCTGATTGTGTTTTATTTGTAAAAAAGGTTAAAAAAATTGAATGAAAAATGTTCCATTATTCATCAATCTCATAAATAGATACAGAGGCACTTATACACTTACAAATGCAACAGATATGATGGTTTACCAGGTAAATTATGTAATAATATACTCTGACACATATACACACAAATCTGACTCTCACTGTAACTGGCCCTTTAAGGCCCAATTTTCCAGCTTGTGTATCACTTTAACTCCTTTAGTTCCTGGTTTTTCTGCCATCAAGGAAGTTCTTATCTTAAACTGCTGCTGCTGGGTTGAGCTCCAGTCATGCCTGGGTGATCAGGACTATGGCGATTCTGAAAACAGGCAAATAATACAATAATTAATAGAAATAATATATATATATATATATTTTTGTATTTATTGGAAGATATCAGATGTACTGTTGATCACAATTTAATTATTAATGTAACATTTTTATAAAGACTCATTGAATTGTTCAAAAGTGACAGTAAAGACATTTATGTTACTAAAGATTTCTATTTCAATTAAATGCCATTCTGGTGAACTTTCTAGTCATTAAAGAATCCTACACAAAATGTATCATGCTTTCCACACACACAAAAAAAAAACTGTTTTCAACGTTGATAATAATAATAATAATAATGTTTCTTGAGCACCAAATCAGCATATTAGAATGATCTCTGAAAGATCATTTGACTGGATTAATGATGCTGAAAATTCATCTTTGCCATCACAGGAATAAATTACATTCTAAAATATATTCAAGAATAGAAAACAGTTATTTCAAATTGTAGTAATATTTCACAATAGTACGTTTTTTACAGTATTTTATCAAATAAACGTAGCTTTTTGAATGTAGAAAACTATAAAATAAGTCCATTTGTAACATGTATTTTCATGCAAAGTGTGTAACAACTCCAATTAACCTTCTTTTTCTTTTTATCTTTCTTCTTTTTCTTTCTGTCTGGATCATCGTCCTTCTTTTTCTTTTTCTTCTTATGGTCTGAATCTGATGGAGTTTCTGTGGTAAAGAAGTAAGATTAACAGTTGATATGTAAGAAATCACAGTCATCTCTTTGTGTGTTTTGTGTGTGACAGTTACCTGGTGGTAAAGGATCCTGAGGCCGATGATGTTTATGTTTGTGTTTGTTCTTCTTCTTCGGCGGTTGAATGTGCATCAGTCTGTATTGCTCTGGCAACTTTGGCAGGAGAAAGAGCCACATAAAACATGCATGTAAAAAACAGCAATATATGATTGACCCACATAACCATTCACAACCAACATTGACTAAGAAAGATATAGACAATCCTCAGAGTAACAAGTCCTTCTTTTGTCTCTCACACACACACACACACACACACACACACACACACACACACACACACACACACACACACACACACACACACACACACACACACACACACACACACACACACACACACACACACACACACTTACTGGGCCAGTGTGTAGCCTGAAGCCGGTGAGCATGACCCCAGTGAGAGGACTGAAAGAGTTGTTGCACACTGGCGTCTTCTCAATGAGAGAGCGCAGAGAGCTGTTGTCCTGAATGCCTGGGCTGTCAATCATACCTGGAGTCCAGAAGGATAAAAACAAAACAATGTAGTTTCAACACAGGCACTAGCTTAACCCAGGCCTGGTGTTGTTATAAGTGAAGTCAAGTGTATACTACTGTACTGTGTTCCTTTTTCCCTACTGGAATATTTTTCGAGGAACTGCTCTAGAATCGTGAAAGTATGGTGAAAATATGCACACGCACCAGGAAGCTCCGGAAGAAAATTGCTGAGTTTCTCCTTCACCTTCTTTCCACAGAACTTGTTATAAGCGTGCTCCAGGTTGTAGTGTGTGATGAGATTAGTGTGTCCCGTCAGCTCATTCTCCACTGTCAAGAAGATATAACAGGTTCACAGAGCACTGACAAATCATTTTCCTCCCATCTCATATTTGTTTTCCTTCACCATGTCCCTTTAGGAGCTTTTTAGGGTTCTAACTCTTTTTAAACAATGAATTTACATGACTTTTCCAGTCGTTTGAGATTTACTGGATAAGGAAAAGGATTTAAAACCTTTTTTTTTTTACCTACAATTTCTACCCGATAAAATATTTTAGAGCTTGTAACTAGAGAAATTATACATAGTGTATATTCATTATAAAAATGGCATTTTAGGTTATATTAATTTGCATGACTTTTACAGGTCTAGAAATCACACCTTTAAAATGAGGCTTCCTCATAATAAAGTTTTTTCAAGACCGTGGGAATCCTGATTCTTCACAGAAAAAAAAAGTTGTTGAACAGGCTTAATTATAATAAGAAATATATTGATTACTTGTTGTTTTAGCTTATTTTAAAGCTTGCTGTCTTATTTTAAGTCATCTTGAGGCCCCCTTGGTTTGCTGAGAACCACTGATCTATATAGTGACTATTGTTACTACAACAAAACCATAACACAATTATATGCAATATAAGCGAATTTTCTCAGCTGCTAACTATTGTTACCAGGCTAGTTTATAGTAAGGGTCTTACATGACATGACATATATTTCATACACACCACCAGTACTCATTCCATCATTGTGCATGTGTGTTGAAGGTATTAATAACGGTAAAGGTATTATTAGCACCACGGCATTGGCCACTATGGTATAATAATTAACGTTACCATGGTACATTAAGTACAGCACCTAAACGTGCCAATGCTTTGTGGACTTGATACCTACCAAGGTATTCTTATTATCATACCATACAATCACTATACAACGGCATTGACACTGACACAGTGCGTTATTACATAATTACTACGAAATCAATAAAACCGAAAATTAAAAACACAAAAAGAGGCGCTCACTGGGCAGTTCTCGCAGCAGGTAGAAGGGCTCGTTCATCGCGGAGGGTTTTCTGATCGGACCCCCCTCATCCCCCATCTGATGCGGGAAACAGATCGGGCCCATGTTTTGGGGTACCTGAGGTTTCCCAGATCCAAAGCCCAGCGCAGACGGTCCTGATGGACCCTGGGAATCAGGCTGACCGTACAGCGAGGAGAAGATTTCTGTCATGTTGACAAAACTACCCTACGATGTTGTGATGATTGTGCGGACGTTTGTATTGGGTTTACTATGAGTGAACGTCCCTCCCTTACGTTCTGTTGACAATTGCTTCCGGTTGTTCTTTGTACCTTCCTTGGGGAAATTACCGTAATTTATCAAGTAAGTTACATACATGATCCTATTGAGTCCAGTTCCTACGTCTGACTAAATAAACTCACATAATGCGTCCTAAATGCATTATATAGTTTAATACTGCAATTTAATTGCAAAAATAATTGTAAACGAGGAGATAAACAATTCATGTTTTTTGTGTCAGTGACGCACGTTAAAATCGTCGCTTGCCGTTTATGTATTACGGTAAACCCAACACTTCCGCTTGTCCTTCCCTTTATGTGACGTCGTTTCAGTAAAGTTACCAATCAACAGGGCTGCTTTAAAGAGGAGGGGCGATTTCCCCTTCGTCCGCAGTGACCTCTGTCCCTTTAAATCGTTTAATTCATTTGCCGACGAATATTGTCTCGCATTGATAGCGGTATTGATGCGGACTCTGTCGTCTAGGATCTCCGCAGCAATCGTTTTCTGAAAAAAAAAGAGAAGAAAAAAGAAAATGGCATTGTTAACGCCTTTGTTAGCATTTCTGTATCATTTGCCACAGGTTTACAAATGGCTACTAAAACCATACTACATAGCCTCGTTATTTATGTCTAGCGCGTTCCTGCTTATCCGCAAAACGCCTGGGGTCTGTGAACATCTTTCGACGCAGCGCGAGGATGGCAATTCATGCGATTTTGATTGGGTATGTATAAAGCAGACCTTTGGGGTTTCATGCTGAATGATAACGCATATAACCTGCTTCGTAACAAGGAGACTGGGCAGTGGCCATCAGAAGATGGTCTATAGAATTTGGGGGTGGGGGTTGCTATTTAGCTGGGACGGGAACAAGCCTAAATCATGATAAAAGAGTCTGGAATACCATGCATATAGGAATGATACATGTGGAAAAAAACTTGGCAACCTCTTCCACGTGTGGTGCATGTGTATCACTGGATGATCACACTGTTGTGTTGTTTCTTCGACTTTATGTTTATATTTATTATTATATTATACTTAGTATAAGGGAACCTGGAAACAAAGAATGTTTCAATGTTTATTTTTTTTTAAGTTGAACCTTATATATATATATATATATATATATATATATATATATATATATATATGAGCACCATTCTAAGATAATTAAACACCTTTTTGACATTGACCACCTTTGTACGAAGTGTCAGATTTTCTTCTCACAGGATGCTTTTTGGAATTTTCTGTTATCATTCGACATTACTCTCAAATTGTTATTTTTTATAAATAGGCTAATAGTATAATTATGTATTTTAGCCTTATTGTATAGGACCCACTTAATATTAAGTGTCTACAATGTATGTACATTTAATATAATTTCAGCCATTTTTCTGTTCATTTTGTTTTTCAGAGAGAGGTGGAGATACTGATGTTCCTGAGCGCTATAGTCATGATGAAAAACAGAAGAGCAAGTAAGAGTTTCTCCCCCTTAAAACGCTCTTTTTTTTCCCCAACTTTGTGCAAAAAAAGTATTTCCTATACAGTTTTGTTTATTGACATTCAAATTTCAGAAAAAAATCTCTAACCATACCGAATCTGATGTCAATAGCCCGAGGTTGAATGTTAAGGTTTTGTTTATACACTAAACGCTCCGACACCTGTGTTCTCAGTGACGGTTGTCCTTGTGTTTGTTGTTAAATCAAATGTCCTTTGTCATTCAATGTTTCTGTTATTCTCTCCCCCTCCTCCAGCTCCGCTGTTCAACTCGCCCCCTTTCACTATTCATTTTTGTATGACGAATATAATAATGTGTTTTCGTTTAATCTTTGCTCCCCAGTTACCGTTGAGCAGCATGTGGGCAACATCATCCTCTTTAGTAAAGTAGCCAATGTGATCCTGTTCTTCAGACTGGACATACGTTTGGGGCTTCTCTACTTGACCTTGTGTATTGGTCAGTATTTTTTTATTTTTTTTATTTCACTGTCAGTCAGTGGAAACGTTCTAATGTTTAAAGACTAAACCAAATATTAGATCAATTTAGTATGGCTGTCAACCATTTCTATGCATACTGATGTTCTTTTATCACTGATGCAGTTTTCCTGATGATCTGCAAACCTCCTCTGTACATGGGCCCTGAATACATCAAGTATTTCAATGATAAAACCATTGATGTGAGTATGATTTCACATCATACTATGAATTCAGTCACTCTTCGTGGGCATCTGGTTCTCAAAACAAATTTGCACAGAATGGGAAAAAGAAGAACAAAATATTCAAAGCCAGGGGACTATTTAAGTTATAAGATATTTGTGGGATTTCTGCTGTAGTTATGACAAAGCAGCTTGTTTTCAAGGTGTATTAACAGAAACTGGGACTATAGACATATTAATTCTTTCCCTGCCATTGGCGGAAATTTCGGCTTTCCGTGTTTTCACCGTTACACTGTATCTTCTGAAAGAGTCCTGAATCTCCAGATCAAAACGCAGCAGAAACAACAAGCGATCTCATATGTAAGCAGATGCATATGAAAAATAATGCGATCATCAACATTAAGCAGCATATAAATCAAAACTGACGAATGTTACGGAATGAAATATGGACCCAGGATGAGCTACAGGACTTTGTAAGCATTAGGGGTGTTGATGGACTCGATCTACTCCATCTATGTTTTGATCATCGTTCTGAATCCGAGTCCAGACGTAGTCTTTGACAAAAACGTGATTTTTTCTCAGCTTTTTGCTCAAAATGTTGCTTTTTTTTAAGGAAACGCATACATTCAAGTGTTGATAAAAAAAGAATGCATAAAGCTAGAATAAGATATTCATACAACTAAATATTCTGGGGGCCATGAAAGTTTTGTGAGAATGATCCAAAATGCTGGCGGTGGGTGGCAGCTTTAAAAAACCTGGCGGGGAAAGAGTTCAATAAATTAACCACGATTCGTTTTGTGCTTCAAGAAGATCTAGAACTGCATATTCTTCAATAAAAACAATAGTTATCGAGGGGGAAAAGGCATTATTTACGTTTACGTCTTACATTTATGTTTAGCATTTAGAGATTATTTTAATATATCAACAATAATGTATTAATTTTGTGCACAGTTCGAATTCTGTGTACACCCTTTATGGAGCGGGTCAAATTGACCCTAATTGGATTCAATACAATTCCTCAAAAATCACACTATGAAAAACAACAAAGATTTAGATACAAACTGTAAACTTTTAATATCAACATTTGTCAAACATTACAAAAACATTATATCTGAAAATATGATTTATAAAAATGTTTTAAAACCATTTTTTAAACCAATTTTTGACAAAATTGGAAAATAAACAGTATACTGACTTTTTTTGCATATAATTTTTTTTTTTTTTTTTTTTTTTTTTTTTTTTTTTTTTATGCTTTGAACATCGTAACTGAACAATAAAATTTAGCTGTATAATGACATTTTTAAATTTTCCTAAGTTTCTTAACTTTCCCTAGTTTCCTAAGACCTAGTTCCCTAGTTTCATTATTCACTCACAGGGAAGTGATAAACCAAACATAACAAAATCATACATCAAATAAATGTTTTTTATTTATTTTTTGGCTCTGTGAAGCTGCCTTTGAAAATCCTACATAAAAGTTTTGGTTAAAAGCTAGGTATTTTAGATATCTTGAATATTGAAATGAGAGCTTATTTTACTATCTGTGTCTGACAAAGATTTTCATCTGTAATTTGCAAATAATTCTAAACACTGTGATTTTAGCTTTTTCAAGTGTGTTTGGTTAGGGTTAGATCACTTTTAGATACACTTGCACGTTAGAACTGGAGTTGAAGTGCCCTTACATACAGAAAATAAATGTTTTTATTTTGTGTCTGTGCAGTTGCTTTTGAATGGCTGCCTATGAGGGTCAAATTGACCCGCGAACATCACGAACGTAATAGTAATTTTGTTTGTATATGTCAAAACACATCAGCATGTTGAAACTTTGCATGCATGTTCATCATGATAAATGAGAAAAAGTCACAAAATATCAAGAAAAAAAAACAACGGTTAACCAGTATTTCCAACAACTAGAAAATCGAAACGGGTCAAATTGACCCGCAACACAACACAAGGGTTAAATACTTTTAAATCATCCTGCAGCCCCCTTGGAAATTTGCTGAGGCCCCTCTGTGGGCCCTGGCTCCTGGTTGAGAACCACTCATTCATTTGTATGATATTTACTTATTCTTTATGTATTTTATTGTTTCTTCATCTTTAGTTTCCGCTGCCCAATGCTTCGGTCATAGTGTCTCTCACAAGTGTGCACACTCTGCACTTCGACTTCTCATTGCATACTAGTTGCGCACTTTAAACATCAAAGGGAACAAGCTCGAGTGTCTTATTAGTGAGAGGAATTCAAAGCCCATAAATGTGAATTAACATTGCAGCCCAATAGCCTTTGCAAATAAGCCATTGGGTGTTTAAGAAAAAAAGGCGGGTTTAATGGTTTCAGCCACATTCATAGTTGAACTTTAACTTCAGCAGCCTGAGGGACATAGTGTCCAAATACATGTTGTTGGAAACTGAGTATAGATGTTCACCTTTCTTTTGTGTTTAGGAGGAGTTGGAGAAGGACCACCGAGTGACCTGGATCGTGGAGTTTTTTGCTAACTGGTCACCAGAATGTCAGTCTTTCGCCTCCGTCTATGCTGATCTGTCCTTGAAGTAAGAACATTGATCTTGATACACTGTCATTCAAAAGTTTCAGGTCTGTAGTGTTTTTTTTTTTTTTTAAGAAATGCCATTTATTGAGGATCAAGGATGTGTTAAATAGATCAAAAGGGTCAGTAAAGACATTTATAATGTAACAAAAGATTTCCATTTCAAATAAATGCTGTTCGTTTGAAATTCCTATTCATCAAAGAATCCTGCATTTTTCTTTTTTTCATGGTTTCCACAAAAAATATTAAGCGGCACATTTTCAACACAATAATAATAAATGTTTCTCGAGGAGCAAATCGGCATATTAGACTGATTTCTGAAGGATCATGTGACACTGAAGACTGGCTAAAAAATTCAGCTTTGACAACACGGGAATAAATGACATTTTACCACATATTCACATAAAACAACATTCATATAGAAAACAGTTATTTTAAATTGTAATAAAATTGTACTGTTTTGCTGTATTTTTGATCTAATAAGTTCAGCCTTTGTGAGAATAAGACTTTTCAAAAATATTTATAAAAAATTACCCCAGACTTTTGAACCGTAGTGTACGTCCTGCTGCTCATCAGTTACTGTGAATTAAAATATTATGAATGGAGACGATTGACCTCTCTCTCACTCAGGTACAACTGTGCAGGGCTGAAATTTGGCAAAGTGGACATTGGTCGTTACAGTGAAGTATCCAAGAAGTAAGATGCCCTGTTGTGTCTCACTGTTTCTCGTCATACTCTGGTACACAGACTGTGACAATATCCTGTGTTTCTTCCCCCCCCCCCCCCCCTAGGTATAGAGTCAGCACCTCTCCTCTGTCAAAGCAGCTGCCCTCTCTTGTGCTCTTCCAGGGGGGAAAGGAAGTGATGAGGCGCCCTCAGGTGGACAAGAAGGGACGCGCAGTGTCTTGGACATTCACAGAGGTGAGGCTTAAAGGGTTAGTTCACCCAAAAATGAAAACTCTGTCAGTAATTACTCACCCTCATGTTGTTCCATCCCCGTAAGACTTTCGTTCATCTTCGGAACACAAATTAAGATATTTTCTATTAAATCTGAGAGCTAGATCACTCCTCCATAGGCTTCTTGAGGGATTGAAACTGGCCGGCCCAAAAGTTATGAAAGACATCGTTAAAATAGTCCGAGTGACTACAGTGGCTCAACCCTAAGTTTATCAAGCGACGAGAATACTTTTTGTGCGCAAAAAAACAAACAAAAATAACGACTTTATTCAACTATTCATTTCCTTCTCTGTGGGCCTCGAGTGAGTTCACGTAGTGGAACTGCGCAACGGTTCTGTGTGGTACGTCACACACAGGCTCACTATTGACCGACGCTGGTCATGTGTGTGATGCGTGTGACGTACAACCTAGAAGCTTTGCGCAGTTTCACTACGTGAAATCTCGAGGCCCACAGAGAAGGAAATGAATAGTTGAATAAAGTCGTTATTTTTGTTTGTTTTTGCGCACAAAAAGTATTCTCGTCGCATGATAAACTTAGGGTTGAGCCACTGTAGTCACTCAGACTATTTTAACGATGTCTTTCATAACTTTTGGGCCGGCCAGTTTCAATCCCTCAAGAAGCCTATGGAGGAGTGATCCAGCTCTCAGATTTAATAAAAAAATCTTAATTTGTGTTCCGAAGATGAACGAAAGTCTTACGGGGTTGGAACAACATGAGGGTGAGTAATTACTGACAGAGTTTTCATTTTTGGGTGAACTAACCCTTTAAAGTCAGCATGAAATGGAAGCTGCAATAGTCTTTCCTGTGACGTATATCTGAGTGAAACCGCTTCTTGAACAAGAAAAAATTTAGGCTGGGACTTGATTTTGTCCATCAGGAACTGATTGGATGGTTGTGGTTTGCTATTGCTGTGATCTCATGTGAGTGACAGGTTGTCCCGTCCTCACACTGAAAAACACATAATCAGAGAAGAGATGTGGTTGCAAGTGGGAGGTGGAAGATATTTTGTTTAAAAACTTTTAAATTTAGTATACGGATAAATCATTTATGATAAACACTGCAATATTCCAAAAAATAAGAAGCGTCAATTTTGATTTCATGGTGAATTAATCAACTGATCCTTCAAACACTTCAGAAATCTCAAAAGCCTGTATGTTTTCTATACAACACAGAGAAATGTTTTTTTTTGCTTCTAGGAAAATATCATCCGAGAGTTTAACCTCAACGAGTTGTATCAGAAGTTTAAGAAGCTCGGCAAGACCAGAGGAGAGAAATCCGAGAGGCCAAATGAATCTGTATTTTCCCCTGTGCCTGAAGAGGAGGAACCGGAGACCGAGACCATCACTGCGATGGACACAGAGAGCAAGAAGGACAAATAGAAAGTGCCCATTGCTGAAGAGCACTGTCAATCACTATGGGACTGGACCAGATTGTGCTAATGTTCAGTGTATGCAGAGAGAGAGAGTTTGTATGTAGTTCTAAGCAGAATGATTGTTTATTTCGTTTTGTATAACGTATTAGTTAATTGCAAAATCAGTCCAATAATATAGTAAATCCTAATACATTAATTAAACTTCATAATCATTGATATACTGGATACAGTATACAGGTGTCCAAACAACGTCATTTGGGACATTGATATTCGATGTCTGTCCGCTGTGTAATTTCAATCGAGTTAAACATAATTAAACATTGGACTTCTACCTCTAATATGGTTGATAATTATGAAGTGATCATTAGTAAGGGGTTATTTTGTGTTGCATATGCATCACATATTGGGGAACAAACTTTATCAGTTTTTTTTTTACTGTATTGGTAATCCTTTCGTACGTTTGACACTCCTAGTATTCTTATTTTCAGTTTTTTTTACTACTTTTCTGAGACGTAGCTTGTTTGTATGGTACTGACTACTAGACTGCATTCAGTGATCTAAAAAGGGAGGGTCTTTTATGCAAACAGTTCATGTCATTTTACAAATTAAAAAACTAAGAGTGAGATCTCAAGATAATATTCTGCAAAATGTGGTTACCTTTGACATTGAGACCCAGTTACACATTTATTTTCAGACTGAATACTGCTGTTAATGTCTTAAGTTATTTAAGTTTATATTAAAAATTATTGAATCTTTTAACATTTTTATCATTACTTTAAACACCGAAGAAAGCTGCAGGCAGACTTCATGTTAGAACCTTTTCCAGTCATTACTGTTGGAAACTTATTTTTAGTGTATGTAGAATTTTGCCATCAATTTCCTTACAAAAAGGAGGAATATTGTTTTAGTGCACTATTGAATAAACAATTGTTGATTTTCACTAATCTTTAATGAATTGATGATTGAAAGATGACCAAGTGCTTTGAGTGGTTGTGGATGGAAAGTTTTTTTTTTTTGCCATTCTAATAAAACACTTTGTTCTTCACGCCCTGTTCTGTGTAGCTTGTACATTTTATCCAGTCGCTTCAAATTCAGACTCAACAGAACATCCAGGGAGATTTCGGACCATTTGCCCAAAAGCTGAATCAAGCACATCTAAATCACTCACCAAAGCACTCAACTTGAGATGGAATTGAAACGTTGCAAGGCATCCTCCTCCGTGGTGACTCCAATGTGCAGTGGCTACCAAAAATATACATTAAAGTTGCATCTGCAAACAAATAATGCTAGACATTCTTTCAGAACTAATTTCTTAGAGTAACCACAGGTGTCATTGGTCACATTAATGGGGCATTTCCCAACCTGAAAGTGTCCAAATACCTTTTGTCCTAATTTTGAACATTTTATGTATTTTTGAGGCCTCTGTATACATTTAATACAGAATAATATATTTTTCTGTCAGCTGAGATTCATTACACAACAAATAAGAGCATATCCACTAACACATGCAGTATTTTTAGCTACACTCAAACGTCCCACCCCAATGCTGCAACATTGTAATTGTAAGGTGCCAAAATATTTTGTAGACCATTTTTCTGATGTCTACATTGACAACAGGCTTTCACAGATTCGAGACTGGACAGAAAAAAAAAACATTCATGGACATAAATGGTTTATACATTTCCAAAGTTTATGCATTACAAAAAAAAGCAATGCACAAAGGCACAACTGATTTATAAAGAGTTTATTACCAATGCTCTCACACACACACACACACACACACCCATACACAACCGTGCTCACTCACACTGAACTATACAGTACACGTTCTTTTCTTTCTTTCCCCCAGTCCATCTTTTGATCCAAAATATTCCTAGAAGTGTATTCATTGGCTTTTGTATCAGCCAGCAAATAACTTCTGTCCCCTGATTGGTCAGCCCTGATCTAAATGTTGATCAATACACCTGACAAGACAGACGATGATTGAAATGAGTCACAATCTTTTTGAATGTACTAGGTAAGAATTAAATAATTAAAAATAAAAGGCTTTCACTGATTAATAATGACAGCTAACTTCCTCTGACTGGCTCAACTGCCGTCCAATCACTGATATGTCACCAAGGGCACTGATATGGTTACCCAGCGTTCAGTGGCACCGTGAGAAGAAAGCTTTAAATCCTACATGGCTGGCTAGTTAAGGCCACCAGTGAGATTTGCCTCTCCTGTATTAATAAAACAATACAAAAAAATAAAATAAATTCATACCCAAGAGGCAGACAATCAATGTTTACAGGATACAATTTGAAATATGTCCCACAGGTCACAATGTCAAAAGCATTTTTATGCTACGAGCAACCCTCTGACTGATCTAGAGTGCCACCAGCTCTTCTTCCCTCTATACGATTAAAGTTCATAGAGAACAAATATCAGCCTTTGTAAAAAAAAAAAAAAAAACATTTTGATCTTATCAATAACCATTTATAAAGTCATATAAAATAACACTTTGAAAATTAAATAAAAACATATTTCTTCCTTAAATTTCCAAGGCCATTACTCTGAAAACACTAATTTGAAAAGGCTGCTGTCATTTAAATAATGCATTAGTACATTTCTTTATCTTTTCTACCGTTTTGCTTCCCTGGTGCTGATTGGATACATTATCGCATGCCAATCACAGTGGTCTGAAATGGCTACCGAACGCCACAGGTCCCCTTTCTTAAAAAATCAAATTCCACTCTGTGAAAAAAACTAAACCGGTGACCATTGTTTCTCTATACAGAACAATTTACACATTTATGTCAGATAAAAATCTTTTTTTTCTGAATCATTTTAAAGGCAATCCGGTCCTTTGCCGTCACACCAGTTATGTGTTACAGCTCCTTACTGATGAAGAGTCTTGAAGTTTTATTATGTCATGGCTTGAAAGGCCCCCCCCTATGATCCTCCTCCTCCTCCTACATGTCATATCCAACCAAAACCTGCTGGTCAGCATTGATTTCAATTTTGAAAAAAAAAATCCATATCTTTCCCTTGGGCACCAATGAGTCTGCCACACGTGATTTTCTCCGCTATGTTGGTGAAGAAAAAGAGTCCAACACCAGTAAAAACAGCCGCTCTCTCACACCGATATCTCGTAAGTGGTCCCTCCGACGCCCGTCACCTTCTTCACCCCACCTCCAGGCTTGTGAGCGGGGCTCTGAGAAGAGCCAGCACTGGAATATGCCTGACCTGGGCGAGTCGACACGCTGACAGGATGAGAGGGGGACGAGGGGGTGAAAGGTGGTTTCGGCTGCCCGTTTGTCCGGCTATATGACTTCATCTGAATCTCGTCCCTAAACCAAAGAAACAGAAAAACTTGGAAATTAGAGAAGTATTTACATTAGTATGTACATTTGCATAGTAAATACGCTACTGTTCAAAAGTTTGGGATCATAAAGTTTTTATATTTTTGAAAGAAATGAAAACGTTTATTCAGCAAGGATGCATTAAATTAATCAAAAGTGACAGTAAAGATGCATAATGTTACAAAAGATTTCCATTTCAAATCAATACCTTTAAACTTAATTCATTAAAGAATCCCCAAATGGATCACAGTTCCACAAAAAAAACATTAATAATCATAATAAATGTTCAAATAAAGAATCTTGATGTGAAATGTGTTGTTTTAGAGTGATGTCATTTGCAAGTTTCACTGCCACATAAAAAAAAAGAAAGAAAAAAAAGATTAAAGCATTACAATACAAATTACAATCAAGAGTAAATCACAACACATAAGAAAGAACTGCAATGATAAATCAACAAAGAAATGCATCACAGGATGCCAGTTATTTCATATTGCCGTGGCTATGACAAACAAATTATAACACAGACGTCAGTTAAAAAGCCTCCCAGAATAGGTATCAGTTCAGAAAACAAGAGTGCAAAACGGCGGTAAAAATAGTTTAGCTGAAGTGGCAAATCCAGCCATGCCTGCCAGTGAATTTCAATTTTTCTGCCGCACAATTTGGAAAGGAAAGCATTCTCTCAAGCACTGCAGGTTTATTATAACCATCAGCTCTGCTATCAGGATGCCACTGAAATGTCTGTTAATGATGAGGGCTCATTGTCTGGCCCTTGGTTTGTTTCCAAATAACAATGCATACATGTCAACTTTGGTTAATTTTATTCTCTCCTTTATTCTGAGAAACAATGTTGTACCGTAAAAAAGATTCCTTCTCTGCTTCTTAGTGGAGACCAGGCCAATTTTGTTGCCTTTAAAATGCTGACTATTAACTAAGCAAAGCAGGCTTTCCAGACCTCTATAATGAGCAGAGTGATGAAGCATTCTGTCTGGCTCGGATCTATCCATTTAGTCATTTTGCCAGTGAAGAAATTGGGTCTGATTATTCTAGTGTAGACAATATCCAGTTTATCTTCATAAGCAGCAGCATAATGTCAGGAGACTTCTAGTTTTCTATCCGCTCTTTCCACACAGATGTGCTTTATTTGTATCTGCTCATGTTTACCATGCCATCTTGCCAAGGCACTGAACTTAAGGTATATGAGACAACAGAGGCATTACTGTATTTTAAACATGCATACATTAGTCTGAACCGGCTCACTCATTCATGACGTTAGTCACATTCTGTCAGTCCAAATCCAATTATGCGTGTATCCGTTTGGAATCTGATCTAAATTATTGACTGTCCACACTGGCTACGCTTACATGCAACCAAATAATCGGCCCAATCGGACTGAAAAGCCTTCATTTAAACACCTTAATTGATCCGATTGAGTTCAATACGAGTGAAATTTCGACTGGATTTGAAGGGGTGGTGTAGACCTTTTATAATCTGATCAAAAGGACATGTAAACACTTGATCAGATTGAAAACCGAAACTAGAAATTACTGCGTATGTGCAATGACGTACAAATGGTGTAATGACGTATGGAGCGAGCTGTTGTTGTTTTGAATGAAGTGTCATAAATGACTGTCGTGTCATTCTAAAAAATTCTCCTACCACTTATTGTCTGTGAAGTGCTGCAGGACAGTGTTGTCCCATCAGTCCTCACTTCACACTCTCATTCACAGATGCTTGTTTTGGGCACTGGAAGAGGCGTTTTTACTGCGCAATATAACAGCACAGCACGGCACAACGGTTCATTTGTACGTTGTCTCCTAATCAGGACCCGAAACAGATAAATATTAAATCTGCTCTTTAAAACAAAGAAAAGAAGCAATGTAGGAGAATAGAATAGCATGTGCAAACCGAGAGAAACTGTAGTGAGCGCATGTCAAAAAATCAATTCCGATTTGAAGCTTGTGACATATACGCGCATATCAACCCAATCGCTTTATTTAGCGTTCATGTAAACACTACGTTCAGATTCAACAATCGTAATGAATAAATTCCGATTGAAACAAAAGGTGTCTATGTAAACGTAGATATTGTGTATCGTGACTGTTCGGATCTGATTTGTGTGTCCCGTGGTGCTCTTTCGTTTTCCGGAATATCTGCATTAGTTTCTATGGCAATGACTTTGCGTTAATAGGCATAAGCCAAAAACAACAACAACAGCAGCAGCAACATGGAGGTGTTTGCAATACAGATGTTGCCTTATTTACAACATGACAACGTATAGCCGCCGCACTGGACTACCTTGCTTCTGCAGCAACTTTCAACAGGTTTCCTATAACAACGTCTGACACGTTTATGGTTTACGTGGCGTGAGAAAGCCACAAACCCCGCAACATCAGACCGGTCAGACTAAAACGGATTTCCAGAAATGTGATTTGAATAGGATTTCAGACAACATATATACACTACCGTTCAAAAGTTTGGGGTCGGTACGATTTTAAATACTTTTAAAAGAATTCTCTTCTGCTAACCATGGCTGCGCTTATTTGATTAAAAATACAACAAAAATCAGTTATAGTATTAAATATTATTCCAGTGTAAATCAGCTGTTTTCTGTGTGAATATATAGTAAAGTGTAATTTATACCTGTGATCAAAGCTGAGTTTTCAGCATCACCAGTGTCAGTGTCTTCAGTGTCAAATGATCCTTCACAAATCAGTATAATATGAGGATTTGATGCTCAAGAAACATTTATTATTATTATCAATGTTGAAACAGTTGTTGGTCTGTCAGTTGTACAGTTTTTTTTTTTTTTTTTGGATTCTTTGATGAATAGGGTTAGGGTTAGAATCTTTTGTAACATTATAAATGTCTTTACTGTCACTTTCGATCAAATTAATTATTCCTTGATAAATAAAAGTATTGATTTCTTTCCTCCAAAAAATAAAAATAAAATTCTCACTGACCCCAAACTTTTGACCGGTAGTGTATATATATATATATATATATATATATAGCTCGAAACTGATCTGTAAATTAAAAATAAATCACATTTTATGCGACTTTTTGTTGTTCACAATTGCTAAATACAATCGGATTCCAATCGGATATGAACAAAAATTGGATTTTGACTGAGACAGTCTGAACAAGGCTATAATGTCCTGAATGGCAAACCCCCCCCCCCCCCCAAAAAAAAACTGAAATTCGACCTGATTGTTTCAGTTTAAATCAAAACAAAACTGTTTAAATGTTAGTTTAATTACATTTTTTTTTTTTTTTTTTGTGATTCTTTATTTATTAAACATTTTGTGTTTTTAACTATTTACAACAAAGCCCAAGATCGCCCATAACCGTAAGACTAAATATAAATACATAGAATAGATAAATATGACAAGAAATTAAAATAAAATTGACCAAAACTTAGAAGGATCTCAAAAACTTCTTGATAAAGTCTCAATAAGGTCCAACCAAAATTGTATTGTCTTTCTATTGGCTCCGAGCACTTTAGCTGTGGTACATTCCAGAAGGGCAATGTCCAGTAGATATGACATCCAGATAGACATAGCTGGGGTAGTTGGTTCAAACCACAGTTTTAAGATAACCTTTTTAGGAGCAGTAAGGACAACGGACAGAATTAACGATTAATTAAAACCAATAGATTTTTATGCTGTTTTAATGCTTTGACAATTCAGATTAAAGGGATACTCCACCGTTTTTTCATATTAAACTATGTTATTCTCTTATCTAAGACGAGTTGATACATACCTCTCTCGTCTCAGTGCGTGCACTGAATCGCTCTGTCGGGCGGAGAACTTTGAGAGCAGTTAGCTTAGCCCCATTCATTGTATATGGGCCAAACAGAGATAAAGTTAGAAGCGACCAAACACATCCACGTTTTCTCTATTTAAATATAGTTACACGAGTAGTTACACGACCAAGTATGGTGACACTAAATAAAATGTGGCGCTTTTTATAAGCGGGTAAAATGGATAACTATAATGTATGGCGGAATAGCACTTATTGGGAGCACTTCGACTCGGCGCTGTAATATCTTCACTCGTGAAAAGTCCTCTCCCCCCTCTCCCTCTCCCTCTCCCTCTCCCTCTCCCTCTCCCTGTCATTTCCGTCAATAGAACCAACGTGACCTGCACGCCTGCAGTAGCCTAGTAGTTTTTTGTGCAGAGTTGACGGAGGGAGAGGGAGAGGACTTTTCACGAGTGAAGATATTACAGCGCCGAGTCGAAGTGCTCCCAATAAGTGCTATTCCGCCATACATTATAGTTATCCATTTCACCCGCTTATAAAAAGCGCCACATTTTATTTAGTGTCACCATACTTGGTCGTGTAACTACTCGTGTAACTATATTTAAATAGAGAAAACGTGGATGTGTTTGGTCGCTTCTAACTTCATCTCTGTTTGGCCCATATACAATGAATGGGGCTAAGCTAACTGCTCTCAAAGTTCTCCGCCCGACAGAGCGATTCAGTGCACGCACTGAGACGAGAGAGGTATGTATCAACTCGTCTTAGATAAGAGAATAACATAGTTTAATATGAAAAAACGGTGGAGTATCCCTTTAACATACGTTCAACACAAAGAAACCAAGTAGCAGAAAGCATAAAATTACTGAAGGGCTTCCTAGACAGAAGGAGTTTAGACTAGTGGGAAAAAGATGAAGGAAGAAAGAAGTGAAAGAGATACACTCACAGGAGTCTGGGAGGAGGAGGAGGAGGAGGAAGAGTAGGAGGAAGGAGGCAGTGCTGCGCAGAGCGTCGTAAGGTTGTGGGGGAGTTACTCACTTTGGCGCCTGTATGCCCCCTCCCCCGACCGAGGCCGAGGCTTTGCGGACCAGGCGGTACTGCATCTCTGCAGCGGCAGCGCTAGAGTAAGACAGGGACTTCCCCAGTGGCGGGGGGTGTGGCGAGAGTGGAGGGTGGGTGTTGGGCGGCAGGGGCGTGTCAGTGGAGCGAGTGCGGTATGGATACGAGGGCTGAGATGGGCCCGAGTCAGAGAGCAGAGGGGGTCGAGAAAAGCGAGGAGGCCGATGGTGATGGTGGTGATGGTGGTGGTGGTGGTGATGGTGGTGCGGTTGCGAGTCGTGCAGCAGGCGTTCACGCTCGCGTTCAGGCGGAGCGGGAGGGGAAGCAGTGGAGCCACGTAGATAGACGGCATGCTGCGGGGAGGCGAGGAGGACGGCGCTGGAGGCAGATGGCTGGTGGAGTTCAGCCTCCCGTTGCTGGGCGATCTGTGCTGACAGGAAGGGCGAACTGTATCCGACTACTGGGGCGCGCGGTCGCCCTGGCGTCATCTCTGGTGCCGCGGATTCAAATTCTGGGCTTTCGGAAGGTGTGAGCAGACTATCGTACGAAAGACTGCCGTTCCGAGGAGCCGGTGGTGGCGTCTGATTGGCTAAGCTTTTGTAGCTGGTGGAGGTGGTAGCCTCAGATGGTGGGGCATTGTGGGAAGAGCGAACACTGGAGGACCGTGAGGCCCCTCCGGCGAGCACCGTAGGATCAGAGAAGGAGGGGTACGAGCGCCCTCCTAGGGAGTATCCTGGGATCCCTGAGGCTGGAAGTCCTCCAGGGCCCCCACCTGTTCGCTCGGCCCCACTTCGCTCCGCTCCGCCCACCTCACACCCATCCAGACTGGGCTCGGAGCGATAGCCTGACTGCTGACTGGACTGGAGGAGAGAGGAAGAGGACTCTTTAAGACTGTCCCCACGACTCATCTACAGAGAGAGCGAGAGAGAGACAGGAAGCAGAAGAGTTTATAAAGTTACAAGAGAAATGTGAAAGCCAAATTCAATGGGAGATAAAGGACAAACTCCATTGTAAGGATCACGTGGGCCACTGGGGACAGATGATTTGGTAAAGTGTTTTCTATAGCTATAATGAAGAGCCAGCATTACAGAATACGACAGACAGCGAGGCTAAGCTTGGAAAGGCAGGGAACACTGAAGTATTGGCAACGAACTTGGAAGCACTAAGGGCAGAGCACTGTGCATTAGGGGTGCACGATTCAGAAAATGTCACGATTCGATACCGATTTTTTGTCTCAAGATTCGATTCAAAATCGATTTTCGATTCAAAAACGATTCTCGATTCAAAAAACGATTCGCAGTATATAAATGTAGTTTACTTTTTCCTATGTGATTGATTGCAGTAGACACAATTTAAAAGAAAAAAACACAACAAATTAAATGTAGTTTAAATATTACTTTATATGTCTTCATACAAAAATAAAAACTTGCAATAGCCTACATTTAATTCAAGTTTAAAAATAAAACTTAAATACATTTACATTTAGCTTTAAAGTGCTGTAGTCAGATCAAACAAACAATTAGGCTAAATGTGGTTTAAGGACTACTTCAGCTACCAGGTTGACTGTTGAAATGTGAACTCGACTGGGCACATTGATTGAACTTCATAAAAATATATACTAATGGTTCTATATTAGTATACTAATATACACTAATATAGAACCCTTGCGAAAATATTTTAAATAGATTTTTAAAAAGCCACCGCTACTGGTAACATCTATGGTTAGATTGATTTGTTTAGATCCAGTGAAGTCGTTCATATCTCCAGTTAACTAGCAGAGCATTCATTTAGTTCGCTATTAAATAAGAGATCTGTTGTTTTTGAAATCAAGCTGCGCGCTCGTTGCCGCTGCTACCAGTGTCATGGACACAGTGTTCTCTGTGGCGCAGTCTTCACTCGGACGCGCGCTTCAATCTATCGCCGTTGTGGAGACTCCGGTGAAATCACAAAATAAAATGCACACAAACGTGATGAACATATGCGGTTTTGATGAGAGAGAGAAAAAAACTATACGAGTGCGGTTTAGAACCCGTAAACTCTGACACGCTTGGCAAAAGATCTGAACTCAAACATAAGATCTGCGGATCGATGCATTTATTTACGGGTTGAGCAGAGAGGCTGCACAGTTTGACCAGCGCGGGTGGCAAGAACTTGCAATGTAACTATTTATCAGACCGGCCCTCGCGGCCTCGAAACACTACCGGACCACCGTTAAAAGTCCCGACTCACCCGATTGCCACTCCGCCCGTGTACGCCATTAAAAATATATATATATGAATCGATTTTTGGAATTATATTAATCGATTCTGAATCGGTAAAGATTGAATCGCGATTCAAATGTGAATCGATTTTTTTGCACACCCCTACTGTGCATGTCATTTTTGCCTTTTGTTTCAACAAGGCACAGCACATGAGCAACCATAAAAAGTCGAAAGACCACAACATCTACTGGCCGGTGAATAAGTCCTGAGGCCTCATGTATAAAAGGTAAGATACAAGCAAGTTTGATATTTACCCTGTTGTTGTTTTTTATTGTAGACCTGAGTGACTGTGGATATTTTTTTATCCATTTAACTCGCAGGTATATTATTTCACAGAACTATAATGTAGTTCTGCACATGAATTTCTAGTTTGTTTTGCTCCTAAATGCTCAACCAAAATGGAACCACTTAAGACTTTTATCATTCCGCTGGGAAGAAATATCACAATTCCAATGTGATATTTCTTCCCAGCAGAATGATAAAAGTCTAAGTGGTCAATTAATTGCACTCAAAATGCAAATGTAAGGAGGCGGAAAGAAAGTTTGTAAGCATACAAAAGAGTACAAAATAATTGACTGTTAATCGGCAGTTCCTGCAGATGAGGGCACTGGATTATTTATGATATTATCATACGTGTAGTATTAACACAATATCAATATTGAATTTTTATATGCATCACTGTTATCATCAGTTCCGGACCGGTATACCGCTACTCACCTAATTACAGCTCATGAATTGAAAGGAAGCCAACAGCACAAATACTATTTTATAAATCTAAACTATGTGCACACAAACTTTTAGAATGGAAGCTCACAGTAAATTTTTATTCATGAGGCCTCTGGTCTTTCAGAATCAATTAAATTCACATCATGTAGTGTGTTTCTCATCTAATCTATCTTAATCCAGCACCACAGAGCCCAAATTGACACACCCTCAGCGTTAAAACTAGCAAAACGTTTTGCACAGCCACTCTGTGAGGACAGATGGGTTGTTTGTGTTGGCTTTATTAACACTACTTGAGTTTAATCACACAAATGGGACAGATTACATTTGTTATTTTGTTTCAGAAAGGCAATATTTGTCTGTGCCAAATGTTTTGTATATGCTGTGGGCTTTTGAGAAAGCAGTATGGTCTTTTTGTAAAGACAACATCTTTATATAATATAACCCTAGAGATATGAAATCCCTACTATGATGATAAACTAAATAGTTGGAGAATCAAAATACAATAACAATTAAATAGAAAATTAGCAACATTAACAAGCTGCATTTATAAAATTAATTGATGTCTACAAAAAGACAAGTATTAGAGAAAGGAGAGGAACATTAACAATAACACACACACACGGACACACAAATAATGAAGTACAGTGTAAACTTACTGATACTGTTCAACTGAAAGCCACTGAGTCAACCAAATTGAAGGGGAAAAAACAATATAATGGATTGAATAAAATGTTAGAGGAAAAAGAAAGGTTTAAAATATGCGGTAAAATGGAAACAATAACGGTCATGCAAAAGAATGTGAATGACGTCGCATTAACAAATTAAATGCAAAAATCACCACCACCACCACAGACTGTGAATGATTACACTTTGGATAAACAATACATACATCAACACGGAAAAGTTACCTGGTTGGCATATGCATGTGTAAGAGCAGTGTGGTTCTTTCCTGGGCTACTGTAGGTGGGTCTGTACTTGAACATGGTGGGGGTGGGCGGAGCTTTATTCAACAGACTGCTCTCTGCAAACAAAAAAGTAAAAAAAAAAAAACCATGAGAAATCAGATTCAGAGTTTTAAACACATTTTAGGAACACATTAAGTAGATTAAACCAGCATTCCAACAGGTAATTGCAATCTTATAATCCATTCCAAATATTAATTATTTATTCCTAAATGGCTAAATATAATCACAATTCAGCATGAAAATACAATTATGACATCATTGCGGTTACATTTTGAAACCTTGAATAAACACTATTGAATGCAAGTCAAATGGTGACTTAGAAAATGTAATCTGAAGTTAAAAAAATTAGCTAAAAGATTTTAACAAATAAGGCAGAAAAGATAAATGTTTGAAGGATAATCAATCAGAATGATATTATAGTTTGTCATGCTGGTTGGCTCTAACCCTCAGGGTGTCCGCCAGGTCCTCGTGACAGCCCAGGGTATCTGAGCTCTGGTTTAGGTGGAGGCGGAGGCTCGGCGTCAGCAGATTGACTCTCCATCATCTCCAAACTGCTCTTAGACTGAAATATTGCAAGAGAAAGGATAAAGCACCAGTGGTTAATTAAATAAAAAGAAACAGACACAACAGCAGACAACACACTAAATGTAGAAGCAAGGAATTCAGCATCCGAACATTGGAATTAAGGAAGGAGTTGTGCTTCTAATCAAAGTCACTAAAAAAATGATTATTGAGGTTATATCTAAATCTAATATAAGACAAATGGAAATGTAGCCAATGTAGTCTTCAATGCTTTTCATCATGCTGAAGAAAAAGGTTCAAGATTAGGGGGGTATTAGAATACAAAGTCTTCTATGAACGACGTCACTTTTTAGGTTAAGGCCATTGATTTGGCACTAGGGTCAGATTGATACAGAATATTTGGGACAATATCACCTTCTAGTACTTGACTAGATTTAAAAAAAATAAAAAAAATAAAAAAATTATTAGCAGCAGTGATGTTCTAATTAATGTTTGCGTAATGCAATTATTCATACTAGTTTTTGTAACATATTCAGTGAATCCCAAACATTTATGCTTCAAAGTTGCATTGCCTGAACTGCCAAACTGTGCACTGTACTGATCAGGTAACGAAATATGATAAATTATATATTGTAAATATTTTGGTACTAAGGTTCTTGCTTTGTATTGGTATACCATGCAACCCTACTTGGTATAGTTCAACATGTTGCTGGGTGTGGAAAGATGAACACACTTTAGTCTCTGGACCATTTGTCGTGCCAACTCTCCATGAGTTACTAGTTGCAGCAGACACATCTCCAAAAGATTCAGCAACCTTATCAGAGATAGAAGACCAGGACTTCTGAAAAGTGATTGCACATCTCTTTTAATTGGTTACTTCCATTTCTGCACAGTGGATCAAATTTATCAAGCAGCTCTCTCTGCCACACTGTACCTTCATCCTCCCACTTGCTATCAGTGCTTACAACTCAGCAAGCTAGAAGTTGAGCCTCTCATTTTAGAAATCATTAATGCAGAAATCCATCTACTGCCAAAAAGCGAACACATTTTCCTCATAACTCCAGGTTACAATGTTAAAAAATGTCAAAACCCTGTAATAAAGTGCTCCAAACTGATAGAAAGTTCCTGTAGTTCTTCAAGAACATAAATCAAGAGACATTTCAGAACACAACCTTTCATTAAGGAACAAGAAAGTATTTTTGACAGTTTAAAAGCCGGTCTACATTTCAGCCATATTAATGCAAGCCTGTCTGTGTCAGCTGTCCTCAATCACATGGTAAATGGCACAAACAGATATTTTTTAGCTTTATCTGCCAGAGAGCGGGAATTGGAGCCAGTTGCTTGCAAAATAGTCTAGTGCACTCTCTGACCTAGGGATTTGGGCGGCGACAGGAACATCTGCATCTAAAAGGCAGTGGTAACGCTCATGGCCAAATATTCCTGAGGCCCCATCCACACTACTGCGTTTTAGTTTAGAAACGGATAATTAAAACGAATACGATCTCCGTCCACACCAGCGTTTTAGCTGCGTATTAGAATTGATCTCCGTCCACATTAAAACGACTGAAAACGCGGATCACGTGACCATTCACCAACACTGGGCATGCGTGTGCCGGTGTAAACACAACTTCATTGATAAAAATATCTCACCATGCTCTGGGTTAACCGCAAACCGACGCTACATATACGGTCAACGCCGCCGCTGCACACGGGAATTGTCACAGATCGCTCGAATAATAGCTTGACTCCGGCACATGTAGGCAGTTATAGCGTTGTAAAATGCAGAATTTACTTGTACAACAGCTGCTAGCAAAGATATACGCCATGACTGATGACACCCAATCAGAGAGCCGAGCGTGAGCCTCTACTACGTCATCGTTTCTAAAGTCCTCCGTTTTGACCCGTCTACACTAAAACGCCCTCCGGAGATTCAAAACGAAAAACGGATCGGCAGCGTTTCTAAAATTCTCCGTTTTGGGTCTCCGTTTTTGCCGTTTTAGTGTGGACGGGAGGTGCAAACGTAGCAAAAGATCTACGTTTTTAAACGAAAACGCAGTAGTGTGGACGGGGCCTGAGTCATTTAGAACAATATGTGATTCTGTTCGACCAATTTAATAAAAAGAACAACTTTGGACAAAATTGGCCATCATTATAGCTTGCAAGCAGCTTTTTGCCCTATACAAGAGTATGATTTCATTAGTTTCCATGGCTTTTTCAGGCCTGGAAAATTAAATAAAAAAATTCCCTGATATAAGGTAGGGTAGGCAATTTCTGAGAGGCTAGCAATAGCATGCTGGCTTTGAAAGCAAAGGATCCAACACTCCCTTCAGAGAGCTCTCTAAAGCCATGCCTCCTCCAAAACACATGAACGTGCACAGCAAAAGCAGACTCTGCAAAGGTTCACGAGGCCGTCTTAAATTACCTCATGTCTCAAAGCACATAACATTACAATAATAATGAACGTGAACAACTTAGAGCTCTGACTGCTGAAACGCATAATTCCGAGCAGAGAGGTTGGTTACCGAACTCTAGGGGTGGCCCCGAATAGTCAAAGATTCGATGCTTCGATAGGAGGAGCCAGATTCGACTACCAATCTCACGGTCGAATCTTCGCAGAGGTGTTATGAAACGAGGATCATGCCACTTTGGCTACATGAGTGTGCTCAATGTCTGATTTCACATAGAACTACCGGTTTTCTGTTAATATACAGCCTATTATGATAATACTGTAAATAAAAATGTGCAAAGAAAGAAGCTTTTAAAGTCCCACTCCGATCATATTTTTGAGCTATTTTTAAACATTCCCAGTGGTCTTTAAATTATGATTATGCCATTTTTAGCCAAAATCACAAAACCTGTGCCGTTTTCTGGGACTTTGCTTCAGCAGAGCGGCAGTAGCTCATTAGAAAATTCGCCTCTGCGTTGTGGGCGGAGCCGTTGGCACGGAGACGACCCTCCCCCTCCCCGTTGCTGAGAGCTCTGTCTCTCCTGCTAGCTTAAATCCCCAAACTGTCAATACCGGTGCAACAAAAATGGAGAACAATATTGGAGCTATCCAGCCGTACAGTTTTGAGCCAGATGCCAGCTCGGACGAGGAACAAGAGGACGTACATAGATCTAGTCGTCGTCTACAAGTGGATGTATCAGAATGGTATTGTTTTTGTAATCTCTTGAATTGACTATTTCAGGCCAATAACTCCTAATAACATGTTAGTAAATAAATATGTTTGTGGACATGCTCCAAACATTTAGTCAGATTAACCTTTTTGAAGTTGATAGTGTCTTGATGGAAGGCACTGCATCCGGCTTCAAAAACAATTTATTGACGAAGCCCATTTTCTTCTCCTGCCAGTTGGTGAAACAGTCTTCTGTAAAGTGCTGAATGCAAACCGATGTGTGGTTTTTAACATTGCCGTGACCAAGGAACGTAATCCATCTATCTCTCACAGCAACATGTTTTGGTAAAGCATGAAAGCTAATACCACTATTTCTCCTCTTAGCATTGCAACCCGCTACCGCACATAGGTGTTGATCCGCCATCATCTTCTCTACTCCTCAGAACCTGAGCGGGCGTGGCGGGGAGTATGAGCTTGTGGCCCCGCCCAGTGGAGTTACTACGTCACAACTCCAGTCTATTTTAGCCGGCATTTTAGCGTCTGCTACTGATTCACAGCCATTTTAATGTAGAAATACTCAGAAATACAACTTTGAGCTTATTTTTCTAAAGATATGTCCTCTAACATAAGAAAAATGCCACAAGAACATGTTAACACCTAGAAAAACATTATTTTCATCGGAGTGGGTCTTTAATAAATATCTTTAGCATGCGTGAAATAATCCAACCACCCCTGTGACAGATTTAAGTTTCACTTTGGATCCGTGACCGACAGAGGAGCATCTTGGCGGCAGGGATTTAAATCTTTAAAAATGTCTGGGATAAGAAAATCTAAAGTGTGGATGCACACCATCAGAAAGGATATTCTCCAAGGCTGGATTTAGCATCAGGAAACCATGATCGCACTTCTGTCGGACAACGTTAACAAGTTGGTTTTCCTCGGGACATTCTAAAACGCTTAACGTGAAAAAAGCTTTTAAAACGCTTAAAGGGCACTTTTACGCATGTACACAGTACACACCTTATTAACCCTTGTGTTATGTTGCGGGTCAATTTGACCCGTTTCGATTTTCAAGTTGTTGGAAATACTGGTTAACCTTTGTTTTTTTGCTTGATATTTTGTGACTTTTTCTCATTTATCATGATGAACATGCATGCAAAGTTTCAACATGCTGCTGTGTTTTGACATATACAAACAAAATTACTGTTACGTTCGTGATGTTCGCGGGTCAATTTGACGCTCATAGACAGCCATTCAAAAGCAACTGTACAGACACAAAATAAAAACATTTATTTTCTGTATGTCAGGCCACTTCAACTCCAGTTCTAACGTGCAAGTGTATCTAAAAGTGATCTAAACCTAACCAAACACACTTGAAAAAGATAAAATCACAGTGTTTAGAATTATTTGCAAATTACAGATGAAAATCTTTGTCAGACACAGATAGTAAAATAAGCTCTCATTTCAATATTCAAAATATCTAAAATACCTAGCTTTTAACCAAAACTTTTATGTAGGATTTTCAAAGGCAGCTTCACAGAGCCAAAAAAATAATAAAAAAAACATTTATTTGATGTATGTTTTTGTTATGTTTGGTTTCTCACTTCCCAGTGAGTGAATAATGAAACTAGGAAAATAGGTCTTAGGAAACTAGGGAAAGTTAACTTAGGAAAATGAAAAATTTTCATTATACAGCAATTTTTTTTTGTTCAGTTACGATGTTCAAAGCATAAAAAAAAAAAAAAAAAAAAAAAAAAACATATGCAAAAAAAAAATCAGTATACTGTTTATTTTCCAATTTTGTCAAAACAAAACTGTTATAAAAAAATGTTTAAATTTTTTTTCATAAATCATATTTTCAGATATAATGTTTTTGTAATGTTTGACAAATGTTGATATTAAAAGTTTACAGTTTGTATCTAAATCTTTGTTGTTTTTCATAGTGTGATTTTTGAGGAATTGTATTGAATCCAATTAGGGTCAATTTGACCCGCTCCATAAGGGGAGTACACAGAATTCGAACAGAACACTTAAGAAACCATACTATGTGCAGATAAGCAGATGAACCCAGAATATGAACGCAACGCCTTTCTCCTATAGAAAGTCACGTAGCGTTTTCTTTATAATAACGGTTTTCTATGGGAGGAAAATGCTTAACGTGTAATGTAAAATGTAATGTAAAATTAGAATGTATTTTATCCGCGCACACAATTTGAAAAGACTCAAATGGACACAGACAGAGTGAAAGACTGGATTTTGTTTCTCGATCAGGTCTGGGTACAAGTGATTTCAAAACATTTCAGATAGTTCTAATTTGATTTTTGGATGCTGTGAACATGTTTAGCTAAAAAGACTGCCGCTCCAGTTTAGCGTTTATTGTGGTTTCTGCAGTTAAAAAGACAAAGTTGACAATTCTGGCTATACTTTAGTTATTTTAAGTTTATTTATTGATCACTCAGGGTTATCTAATTTAACTATTTGTGGCTTGTGTTTTGAATATGTTCCCCTGCACTTTAGGCACTGATTAGTTTGTTCTGTATCTTGTGACATTTGTTCTGTATCTTGTGACTTGATTCTGACTTATTTTGTTGTGTATTTTTATTTATTAGAAAGGTAGGCTATATCCTGTTCTAATTTAATTCTGTAAATTAATTGTTTATTTTTTCAGTGCATCGATGTTGCGCTGTAGGCCTAGAGCGTGCTCGCACAGGCAATTTAGCCGATTTAATTGATTTGCATGTGAAATGCAAATCCTGTCTGCAGTGTGGCCTTTCTGCAGTTATTTCTTAGTTTTATTGATCCGAAATGTTTTTATACATTTTCTTCTATATCTTTGTGTGATGTTATGTACATCGCGGCTTTAAAATGTTAAAGACCCGCCCATCATCAAAACGTAGTTTAAGGAATAATCAAAAATTTTCCTCCATGTTTTAATTTTAACAGTATTAAACTCAGTTGTGCAGCATGTTATTTGACAAAAAAAAAAGTGTTTAATTTCATATGATTAAAAGACAAATTAAATTAATGTTTTATGTAGGGCCGGGACTCGATTAAATTTTTTTTTTTAATTAATTAGAGTCTTGGTAATTAATTAATCGAAATTAATCGGATTTTAATTGCATAAATATTTGACCTGAGAACAGGGAGAAGTAATTTTTTTCACATGGATTTTTAGTATACCGTTGAATAATGACTGAATACATAAGCTTAAGCAACAAAATATTGTTTATTTTTGTTCAACCAAGTCCAGCAGACCAGTGCAATTTTTACCATTAAGTGTAGCAATAGCATATTGCTATACTACACTAATAGCAATGGCGAATTATTCCTTGTTGCATAGCTTGCACACAACCATGCTCTCGACGCTTCCATCCGTTCGTTTTTTATAACAAAATGTCCCATCCACGGGGCCAACCAAAGCGGTCTCGTCAGCTTCTTCGTTCATGTTCACTGTGGTTTGTTGTTGTCTGAAGTCAAGTCATCTTCATTTATATAGCACTTTTAACAATGGATTGTTTCAAAGCAGCTTTACAGAGATAAACATATAATTTAAGGTAACAGAGATTGTTTTGGTTTTTTTTGTGTAATTAATTAACGTGTTAAAGTATGTAATTAATTCATCTTAATTAACGCGTTAAAGTCCCCTAGTTTTATGTCTTCATTTGATTACCAGAAAATACACAACAGAATTAGTGGGGAGAAAAAAAACCTAAAAATGAAATTTAAATTATTTTTTATATTAAAATGTTTTTATTTTATTAAATTCATTGAGTAGCCTACTATTTACGGGTAAATATCACAGTATACAAACATGACAAGACAATGGCAGACAGCAACCAAGGCAGCTCTGGCATAATGTCAATAACACTTCTATAAATGACTTACAGGTTCTTTACAGTTATTGAGATAAACATGCCTAAAGTACCGGAAAAAAGTTACCGTTGGGTACCGGCACCTAGAGTACGGGTTGCAATCTCTTAATTACGGAAATTACGACATGCCGTGAACTTAGCATAAGCTCGTTGTTTTGGTTCAGGAGGAACTGTAAGGTGGCTGCTGTTTGTTTGTGGCGCTCTGTGACCGTTTCTCTACAGCTCTGCATATCCTCATGGAACGCGCTGATGTCGTGATGTCTGTGCGAGCAGGGTGTGTGGAGGTATAGAAATTAGGGATGCACTGAAATTTCAGCATCAAATCCAAAATGGCATTTTCGGTTTTTAGCCAAAAGAGAAAAAAGGCAGAAAATATACGCCGAAAAAGACAACCTATCATTGGACGAAAATGTTTTCATCATGAGACTTCCACAGAAGATATATGTACATTTTTTTTAATATATTTAGACCACTTCTATGATTGATTGCTATAAGGATGACTTCTATGATTGATTGCTATAAGGATGTGGAGAGAGTTTCAACCAGTATAACAAGAAGTGTTTATGAAAACATTGCCTACCCTACCTTTAAAGGGGTCATCGGATGCCCATTTTCCACAAGTTGGTATGATTCTTTAGGGTCTTCATGTAAAGTTTGTAACATACTTTGGTTAAAATTCCTCAATGGTTGTGTAAAACAACACCCTTTTTACCTCTTCAAAAACAGCTCTGTTCACAGCGACCCGTTTTGGTGCATGTCTCTTTAAATGATAATGAGCAACTGCTCACCCCACCCCTCTCTTCCGTAGGGGGTGTCGACACAAGACGTAAAGTGCTGCCTCGACAACCTACCTTGGTGGACAGTATACAAATGGCTGAGGGCGGAAATATGCTAATACGGGACAGTCCATCAGTGGTCATGGGTAGAGCATGAGCAATATGACATTATATTGCTCAGAAAACGGCTTGATTATTGAGAGTGTTTAGGCTTTTTGAGGATAAAAAAAAAAAAAAGTGAATGGATTTTTTTCATTGTATGGTGGTTGTGTCCACACACACTACAAAGACACATTTATATGCAAACACCATATAAAAGGGAATTTTGCATCCGAGGACCCCTTTAAGGTTGGAGAGAAGCAGACAGAACATTGAAGAAAAGAAGTTAAATGGGATTATTTCCTTACCCGGTGTAGGTCTCCATGGATTCCGTTGTCGAGCACCTTGGCTGCCAGTTGAGCCTCTGTAAGTTGCGGTCGGAGGAAAGGAGGCTGAACAGACACTGCCAGAGCCTTCTTCTTTCTACCCAGATACCTGAATACAACACTGAGTTAGAACCTCAATCAGAAAATACAACACAGCTCAAAGTTAAGAATGTAATTGAAGACACACCTGGGTGCCTGTGAGCTGCACAGAACGTGCGAGACGTTCCTGAAGCAGCCGTTTGTGAAGGGGTTCACACCTCCCCTGAACTTCCCCGTCACCTACAAACAAGGAGTTGACCATTAAACAATTACTTTATCAGTTACTTGTCAGTTGGCACTAGAGAAAAATAGTGAGACAATAAGATACAAAAGCGTGCACATGTGGTCCACACAAAGAGGAGGAGAGGTGGGCAGAAAGAAAGCAGCAAAATTATTTGGGAAGAGGATTATGATGAGATTACAATCTAAAGGAGGGCTGGGAGAAGGTCATGTTATGTAGGATTATAAAGCTGCTTAATCCCAGTTCACCACCACCAACATGATTATTGACAGGAAAACAAAAACAAACAAGGCAGCATAAGATTATGATTGCACATGTCACAACCTGCTCATTGGTGGTCCTGCCTCTTGCCACCAGAACGACATGGAAACCAGTGAGGCCTGCTACTGGAATGAAGAAAAGTCCGGCGACACACATGACAGCCATACTGATAAAAAGTCAAGGAGGGAAAAGTAAAGCACAATACAAATTGTATCAAGTAAAGCTCTCAATCTAAAGACACTGCATAGAGTGAGATTACAGTGCTGATTTTTTCCTCAAATGTTTGCTGTGAGCACATAAAAAAGAAAAATAATCAAACAAATGTTTACGTGGGTTTAAAAGGATACGTGACAGCCGAATGCACTCTGTCCAGCTGCTGGGTGTGGTAGAGAATGAAGAGCAGGCCGAAGCCAAACACGCCCATTATGTGAGCCGTCAAAGAGATCAGGAACAGGAAAAAGTAACGGTAGTTCCTCCGGCCGATACAGTTGTTAACCCATGGACAGTGATGATCAAAATCCTGTGGGGGGGGGGGAGAGAGAGAGAGAGAGCTGTGTGAAAGAGCATAAAGTGAGAAAGACCCTAACCAGATACAGGCTGAGTGACCACAGTCTGGCTGTAGAGAGAGGCCGGCACAGGCAGAGATGGCAGCCGAGAGAGCAGAGACTGTGTTCTCTGTGCTCTCAGGGAGAGGTGGAGACAGAAGAACACTTCCTCATACACTGCGATCACTATCACAGCATTAGATCGGACTATTTCACTAGATTTCAACAGCTAGAACCAAATTTTATGGCATTGCCAAATTCTGAAAAATTAATTCATATTTTGGGAGAAAACTCTTGCTCAATCACAACAGCAGCAAAGTATGTAATAGCCTGCCACAAACTACGTGAGTCAGCCAGTGGACAAAACTAAAATCTGAATGTTGGTTCAAAACTGTGTTTTTTTATTATTATTTTTTTTTATATATTTTATTTTGATTCATTATGATATAAATGTAATGTATTCATGCATTTGTTTACATTATTAATTTACTGATTATTTGTTCAATGCCTATGTAATGGCCAATGCTTTGGCAATACTGTATAAGTCATGCCAATAAAGCTCATTTGAATTTGAATTTGAGAGAGAGAGAGAGAGAGAGAGAGAGAGAGAGAGAGAGAGAGAGAGAGAGAGAGAGAGAGAGAGAGAAAAGCTTAAGGCTGTCCTAAGCACACACACTTCTCTATTTAATTAACACAAATCGATAGGTTTAGTCTGCAAAGCATTAGTCAGAGCAAGAGTGGACAGACTGATTAATGACAAAGATTGACCCTTAGAGAAAAAAACAAGACAGTAAAAATGAATGCAAAGATGTCACATTTATATGTAAATGGAATTGCTATTTATTGTAATGTCATGTTTATTCAATGCTCATATTGGGGTCACAGCTGAACACGGTCACAAGAATAAGGTGTGTGTGTGTGTGTGTACCTCTACACAGTTGTCACACACGGAGCAGTGTGAGCAACGTGGGGGTCTGTAGAAACGGCATGTGGAGCACCACTTCATCCGCACTTGAATGCCTCGAATCTCCACAGTCTTATAGAGAGGAGCCCGGAAATCATCCTCTTTATCTTCATCCTCCTCAGCTACAACACACAGACAGACACACACAGTGTTTTACATTCCTTCCTCAGTGGATAAAATTAAAGCAGGAAGTGAATAAAATATAAATGTAAAGTCAACATGTAATCAAATCGCCCTGTTTACTTTATGACACTACTGTTCTCCTTACCCGTTGTGTATTGTGCACTGTTTATCAGTGTATGTTACTTCAAACGAATACATTTTTTAAAAATAAAACGTAAATGAAATGGAACAACTTTTTTTCAGAGAGACATCACATAGGCCACAGAGGCAGAGAAAATAACCAAAAGCCAAATTAGCTGCAGGTTTACTTTTTTCCATTGTTGAATATTCCATTTCTCGAAGGCCCTGTTTACACCTGGTCAATGGGATCACAAGTAGACGAAGGAGACACATACCGGTTTACACCTGGTGTTTTAATCCGTCTCTTTTGTCTACTTTCGACCACTTCTGTCCTGATTTTCGAGGGAAAGGTCTATGGGCGGGTAAATGCATGTTTTTTTTTTTTAGATCTTTCGATCTAATGGAAAAATAAGCTTGCGCAATTTACATATGAACGCGACTGAAGACGACGGGAAAACATACGGAGAGCAGCAGCTTTGGTTTCTGCTCTGACAGCTGCAAGACCATGCCAAATGCTGTGAGTTTGTGTTAGAAATCAGGAATGGTGAGAAAATATTGTGCTTGGTACGTTTTTGTCTTCAAACCAAACTTGGGTTTTCATCCAACAAAGTTTAAATCCCACCTGGCTAGCGCTCTTCCCATAATGTTTACGTGCTAGTTCAGCAGGCGGAGGGTAGGCGGTCTTTTACAGCTGCTAGAAAACATTTGACTAGAGATGCACCGATTCCAATTTTCTAGGCCGATTCCAATTTCCAATTTTTCAGAGTTTGACCTGGCTGCCGATACCGATATTTTCTCTCTTTTCTTTAGTAGAACATTTTTGAACAGTAATCGCTATAAAATAGGACTATATAAATTACTCCTGGTGTGGGAAATCCACACACATCTAAAGTGCAGTGTTATGGAAGAACCATTTCCTTCTTTTCCCATCCAATATCCAACTAAAAAAATGTGATAATTTCAAAAAGAAAATTCATTTTCTTTTCTAACATATACTCCAGTTCTTGTTAAAACACACCAGACATGCAAATTCTGTGCATTTTGGGCACTTTTATGTGAAATCATATTCCATCAAAAGTGTGCTTTCACTTTAATTGAGCGTGAGCAGTGCAGCAAAAATAGACTCTGCGCCGAAACCCGCACTTCACCGCTGCTCCTGCTCGAGGTGTGAATGCACTCATTGATTTACATGCACGCCGGAAATAATACGCGCTGCTCCCGTTGCGGTGTGAAACGGCCGTAATTCACGAGGTTTCCTACATGTGCACGTGTGATGCTGATGTTGCGCGATGTTGATGTTGCGCGATGTTAATCATGCGGCGCACGAGTGCATTTGGCCGGCATAAAATCAGCATATGTCAGACTGACCGGCCGGTCGCCGATCATGACCAATGGCTGGTCACCAGCCGATCAATCGGTCCATCTCTACATTCGACCACATGAGCATTTAAACTACGAAAGCAATCCGGTCGAATGTGTTTTCGACTACTGGAAGTGATCGAAAGTGGACAAGCTCAAAACGTTTTAAACCCCGTTTACTCCTGTATTTAGCATCATCCACTTGTGATTCAATCTGAATACCAGGTGTAAACAGCAAGGTCAGTTTATTAAAAAAACAGAATTAAAAAGAGCAGATTTAATAAGGGGAAAAAATACTCCAATTCAGTTAAATTCCTGTATTTTCTGCTCTCAAACAGTCTGGTTTGTTTTTCCAATAAGGCAGCCACTAAGCCCACATTCTACTACAGCTGTAATACTTAAGCACACAGACACATCATACTGTTTCACTACCTCTGGGGAAGATGCCAGGATCCATAAAGGTGGCCATACAGAAGTTGGCCAGAACAAACAGAAACATAATGCCATTGTATATCGGCACAGCAACAGAAAACTGCTCGGAAAGCCAAGGGCACCTGAAAGAAAGAAAGGTATTAATGGGACACAGGATGAGACAAATCACACACATCATGTTTGCTTCTATGAAGGCACATACGGATCAAGGATCAACTACGATTCCTATACATGACATTGCACGTCCTGCAATGCGACTCTCGTAGATGTGCACATCGCATTATTGATGCTTATACGATATATCGTACAGGCCTATTGCCAACCTCATAATTCTGCTCATTCTCAGGCTATAGAAAATCGTTACAGTGACAATGACAGGATTTCGCGAGTAGCCTGTAAACAGTGTTTCATGTGCTGCTGTAAATGACAGAATTGGACATTACGTACATTAAAGAACAGCTTTTTAGTGCTCCTTTAGCTCTTTATTAATAACATTTTTATTGACATTAAAGTGAAATTACTCAACTGAAATATAGGAGCCTGATACAAATGCTAATTTAAAGGAAAAAATGTCAGAAAGACTTAGGTTTTTGCATCTGAAGTCTTCATATTGTACATTTTTTCTTAATTTAAGGACTGTTTTAGTAGCATGTTTTACTACTATACAAACTATATAGTCAAATGCAGATAACAACACAATTTCACAAGGTTACCACCAGAAAACCTGCAATGTAGGAAGACAAAAAATGGAGAAGAGAGAAATGAAAGAAAAAATTGAGGAAGGTGGTACTTCATGACAGATGTTGGCCTATTTTCATTGCGTTTCAATGTTTAATCAGAGGGGTTGGTGAGAAAAGAGGGATCAGAAGGGGCAAATGACAAGAATGAACAGACGTGACACAGCATCTGACTTAAGCCCCCCATATTTACTCTTGTGTGCCAACTGGAAGGACTGTTTTTTGGCATGATGACTGTTTCTGTTGTATTCATAGGTCACGACTTACAAAATCCAGGGCACAAGAAGTCAACAGGAAGTTAATGTGATTTCTCAAGTTCAACAAAAGAAAACAGCTCTGACTGTGCTTTAAATGCTGAATGATGCTGCATAAACATATTACGGACCTTACCAGTTTGTGCGCACAAGCAATTCTGTGCAACATTAAGGAGCTTATAATGCGAGATTTACATAAACATCAAACTCATGTCTATTTCAGTGTCCCTAGCTAGGTCAATCTATTTACTCCTAGCAGAAGGCTTATGAGAGGGTTTTGCTGTAAATAAAAACTACTTATGCATGCCTATGTAGTATACTAAATTGTAAGTCACATTGGTAGGAAGTTACGTGACTCCTAAAACCAGAAATGCTGTATTAAATTTGTTAACTATGTGCTTTCCAAATGGATAAATCATGAGTAGAAAAAAATCTTTGATGTTGCCTCATCTAAGACATGAACTAGGAAGTTAAGACTCCTAAAATATAGATTATTAAATATAGAAAGATTATTAAGCAAAAAAGCCTTTTAACACAGTACAGCCGAGGTAAAATGTGATATTCTAAGCTGTGTGAAAAATCCTTCTGACATTCAAGACAGCCCGCTGTATTAAACATTAACATATTCTGAACTGAGGATATTATTAGAAGCGCATTCCTTAAAATCAGGCCGTCAACAATAATAATAATTTTAAAAAAGACTAAATGAGCCACATCTGAGAATGTAACAGTCTCAGTATTAAAATAACTGGAGTAATGCTAAAAAGTGACAGCAGTGACATTCACTATACTGCTACTACACTTCTACCTTGCAACTACATTGTCATCATCAGACAAGAATTTGCCATTTTCTAATGTAAATTTATGGAACTTCTGTTTGAATAGATTTAGATCTTTTTTTTTTTTTTTACAGAAAGAAAATACCCGTATAGCCTGTGGTTGCTGTTAGTTATAGCAGTGATAAAAGATACCCAAGAAAGGAATATACATGGTATTTAGTATTTCATGTTATCAAAAGAAACATAACTTTTCAACATCACAATATCTTTATACAACAATTTATTCTCTCAGTTTGTCCGTTGTTGCTCATTTGACCAGTTCTGGGATAGGCGTAATAGTTAGTTTACGGAACCATCTTTGCGATGACGAATGCAATTCCATTCATCAACATAGCGGCATTTGCACTCGGTTCTTATCAAAAGGATATTAAATACTTTAAACAAAATTGTCAATATTGATGTTTTCTCTCTATTTGAAAATAGTGAGTGAAAATTTGAAAATACAATGAAAATAGTTCTGAAAATAGCAAAACTGTTGCGCTTCTTCGAGCATGCAAATTTCGTTCATTTTGTAGATTTGAATTTGAATTATGAATTAATACAATACTGCATGGCATTGTGATACTACTTGGTATCATGATAAATCAGCTGGTAGTACCTTAAGATGCATTTATGGTATCGTGTCGACCCTAGTTCACACAAAAAACTTGTGAACTAGATTACTTCCACTGCGCTACTTTTCCATTGTTTTTTTTTTTAATGTGCTAGACAGACGTCTTTAACCGCTGCGTTAGCATCTTTTTCGGCTCAAAGAACACCTACATTTGTTCAAACTTAATGTTACCTCATTTAAGTTTTGATTCGGGTCACAGACATACTCTTATAGTAACGCATATGCAAACTCACAATACCAAGCATTTACAAAATTGACAAAAATTTACAGATTGCACATTATTATTTCACTCTCAAAAGGTTGTACGACCCCTGAAATGAATAATGTAAAAACATTTGACTATTTCTACCACATTACCATGGTTACAGTTAGCATTACTACTACATTAAATCCATGGTGAATGTTGGTGATTTGAGGACTGGAAAGCCTTCTATAACTTCACTCATGAGACAAAGTTTTTCCTGGTTTCCACATCAGCGCTGCTTGATCTGATATGGTTTATAACAGTTCTGCTCTGAATTTGAATGCTTCTCACAAGAACTCGTTATTAATTCGGCAGCTAATTTAAAGGACAAGTTCGGTATTTTACACTTAAAGCCCTGTTTTAAGATTGTTTCTGATGAAATAGAACGGTTAAGACTGAAATTTGGACACATGCTGCTGGCCTGAGAATTTTCGGTTTCTGTGGTAGCACCCCCCCACCTCCACAATGGTTGCATAGGTGCACTGGAACAATCCTTCATAAAACGCATTAAACTTCAGTTTACAAAGACGTGAAACTCACCGAGTGGTCTGGGGTGTTCACTGATATGCTCACACAAAAATCGCTGCAAAAGATGCTTTCCAACAGGTTTTATCGTAGTTTTTGTCCAACTTGTCCTTTAAATGCTTTCTCACTGGATCTCCCAGCATTGTGTAGTAGTTTTGTCGGGTGATCAAAGATAGGCCAGCATCAGCAAGCACCTATTTGTGAGCTCGAGCAGCGCTGTCTATTATTGCTCCGAGCTGATAAACGGTCCATGCTGCGCAGCTCAAAAGAGAGAGCGCGGTTTCGTTCTGCTTTTGTTTTCTTTGCCGATTGAGGTTTCTCATATGCAACAGAAATAGCAGCTCTTATCAGTTGTGCAAAATTTAGTTGCACCGACTGGAAAAAAGGTCACAAAATGCAACCATTTGGTCACGGTCAGGAGTCCTGAGAATGTAAGAATATCTTAGTTAACTGCTCCAGTGAAAATCAGTCAAGTTAAAAAAAATGTGGTACTTCTGAGCGGGTTCTAGGCAAACACATGGCATTATTCACTCCATTGTGCAGCAACACACTGTTATTCATCAGGACGGGTTGACTCATCCATCATAAATGATTGCAGCAATCAATGTTAGTAAATGTGTGCGTACTCACGTGAAGCAGAAGAAGAGTGTGGTTGATCCAACCAAGAAGGCCGTTGCCGCTGAGACCGGCACGTAGCGACTAGGCCGGAGAGGCCTGGATGGAACGGTGGGCTGGGGTGGGGAAGTGAGTCCAGACACGCCACCACTCATGCTGCCGCTCGGCATCACCCAGGGGGCAGGATGGCAGCACGCCCCGGAAAATTATCCGTTTGGGAGTGTGTTTGTGTTGTTGAGACAGCACAAATGCAAAGAAAGACTAAGGGAGAAGTCGTTGTCCTTTTAGCATTATAAAAAAAGGCCACAAGATGAGCATTGTTTTAACAGTACGAAAAAAAAGAAGAAATCCTTAAAAGAGAGAATTTGGAAAACGTTATTAAAAATTAAAAATATATACATTTAAAAAAGTTGTAAACTGAAGAAATTTTGGGTTTCAGCAAATTCTTGAATTAAAGTTTATGATGTTTGGACGCTTATAAATGATTAAATGTATAAAGCCAATTACTGAACAAAATTTGCTCAAAACTTCTATATTTTGTCAAGTCTAAATATTACTATTTTGGTCGTGTAAAATAATTATTGAAAAAGCAAACTTAAAAGGCTTAGGAAAAAATCTACAAAATGGCAAGAAAAATGACTGGAATATGGGAATTGCTTTTTTTTATCCTCAAATGTCTAACCACTTCGATAGTTTAAATCTTCAGTGATGCTTAATGTAACCAAAATATGAGAAAGATTTGGTGGTACTGTATGAAATAAGAGGTAGAGGAGAGTAATGTTTATGAACTTTTCTTTTTGTGATGCTAACAAATATTTTAAATATATATTATTGAGTTTGATGTTTTGATAAGCAGCCCTGTAGTCAGTTTAAGGATTTCAAAAGTTGGCAAATTGTTTTCTTCTGCTGTGAATGTGAGTTGAATAGATCACCAAAATATACATAAAAAAATGAAAAGGCGAGAGACAAAGAAAGGTACAGGAGGATTTGTCTTAGTTTTAGAGTAGTTCAGTTTTGAAGGGAGCAACGACAATGAAGGAATCAGACGGCTGTCACAACCTTTAACAGTTGTCCCCCACCGTCCACACTTTCAGAAAATATAAAAATGTCTCTCCTTCATTTCAACCAACGTGTGCTACACTGCACCTTATGAAATGGAGCCTCGTGTGTGTCTCTCCTGAGTCGAAGCATTGCTGATCCACAGGGTAGTTATAAAGAACAGGCCAGTATCTTCCCAAGTAAACAGGCTCACACCTGCATGGCTGATTAGATCAAATTCTCACTCTTTGAAGAATGGTCCGGCAAAAACACCTTTCTTGATGGAGCTTGCACAGAGACAAAAACAGGTGAGAAGAGCAGCACTTTGCTCGCACACCACAAATCTCCGGGGAATTGATCCAGGTCAGTAGAGCAATTCTGAAATGAAAACGTTGGAGCGCGGAGGAATCCCAGGATGTACAGGTGCTTATGTGGGGATTGTGGGAGGAGGGGTTCAAAGAGAAAACAAAGGACAAGAGTTCAACTTCTCTCTTGGGGCAGTTCAGGGACTTCCTTAAGCGTGTTTTTGTGTGTATCAGGCCCAGCTGATGTCTATTAGCAGATGAGGAGGCATTACACAAGAATCTCAGGGGGGCGCGGCCTCAAGGGAGTGCCTTGAGCCATGTCGACACTTCCTTTTCTGACTCTGTGGAGTTATCTCCTCTTTCAGCGGACCATATGCAAACTCACAAACAGAGTTAGCACGCACTCATTAAATGATGGGCTTCCAGAGGGTGTGCTGGAGAATGGAAATAAACTCCACCTGAAAAGAACAAGAGGATTTTTTTTAATTTCTGACCCAAAAAAGACTTGAGCAGCAAATTTTAAATAGGGTTGACATGAACAACAAATTTGGTAAATAATGTGCCTAAGATTTATTTAAACAATGAGAACATTTCAGTTTATATAATTTATTCTATAAGTTGTGTGTGAAAAGTAGCCTACATGAAAAAGGTTTGGTTAATGTAAAGGTCACAAATATAAAGTGGAAATTAAATAAGACTTACAGAAAGCAGAAAAGTTTAAATAATTAACATCAATTATAAATAATTACATTTAAGTTGTCCTCGTGGGCTGCACGCAAAAATAAACAAACCATGTGATATATATATATACACACACACACAATGATCACACGGTTTGTTTATATATATATATATATATATATATATATAACGTAAATTCATTAATACACTTTTTAATGTCACATTTTGTAATATTTGCGTTGTTTTATTTTTGTTGTATGGATTATTTTCTCATCCAATTTAACTCCTCGGAAGAAAAGCCCCTGATCTGTAGGGTAATCCTCAACCAGTTTCTGTTTGTTAACCAAACAGAAATTTGTTGTGTAGAGATGACATCACATTTCACTAACAAATGTTATGTTAACAAAGGTGATGTCTGCCTCAAAAAGACAGAGACAGAAAGCCTCAAGGTTTTCTCTGTGTTCTCTGTGTTCACTATCATAACTGAACTGTGTGCACCTGTACAGATTGTAATGTCAAGTAAAACCTTTGATGTCATGGGGTCTTGATTATCCATAAAACTGAACTTAGTCCGTCTGACAATGATCTGAGATCGTTTACACACCGAGTCTATTTTTGCTGTGCTGCACGCGCCGAATTAAAGTGACAGCGCATAGTTCATGGTCAAAATGAGCACAAATTGACATGACAATGAATTTCATCATAAATGCATTTAATTAAATAAAATGTAGTAATCTCACCATAAATGCATTTAATTAAATACTACTATTTTTCACAGTCATCTTTTTACTTTTTTATAGTTTTTTTGAGAATATTTTGATTTGATAGTTAAAAGATTATTTTGCTAACATGAGGTCTTGTGTCTCTAGCCGCGTTTCCATTACCCTTCAAATTGCGCAAATTGAAATTGCGAATTGAAAATACTCACAATGGAAACATGTCAATTTCGCAAACACTCCCATTTATTGCAAACAAGTTTTTACACTCACATGAAGAGGTTTTTCAGGCAATTCGAAAAAGGAATATTTCGCAAAACTGCAATGGAAACAGTTTTTGCGCATTTACAGTCACCTGACTTAGAAGATGTGGTGTGTTTGGGGTCCGTGTAGCCTACGCAAATAATAATAATAATAATAATTATCATTACATTATTATAACATTTATTAGGCTACATAGCCTATTTAGAAAGCAAATCGTCAAATGTCATTCATAATACAGGTTAGACAATAATAATACATTTATTATTTTTCTGGCAATCATTTCTGGCCATACAGAAAATAATAATGCATTATTCGCAACTACTTTTATTTGCGTTAACTCAAAATAACAAGAAAACGTTGTGCTTTTGTAAAATAAAATAATCAGCCACGGTTTCATGGTCTCCGTAAACTGGAGCGCGAGAACTGAAACAAAATATAGCCTATGTAGGATAAAGCTTGAAATGTCCACTTTAAAACGAACAAATTCGAATCGAAAGCTAATAGCCTACCTTCTGATTATGTAGGCTAATCCGTATGAAAGGTGCATTTCTCTAAAGGTGGATCCGCCTTACAGCGGAGATGGAGATATGTTTTAGCCGACACTGATTTAGAAAACAATAGTTTATTAATAAACAATTAAAATGCATCGTTATTTTTTCAGACACATTTATTATCATTAGCCTATAACTCGCCTATAAATCACCTTCCTGTAGGCTGTGGTTCCAGAGACATAGGCCTATGGCTCTTCTCATTCAGCACTGCGGGAAAAATATCATTTCCAATTCCAGGTTCTAATTTGGCCTTAGAAAACCAGTAAAATCTACATTTTTTTCATATTAATTTGTGAATTTTTTAAATGTTTAATAAAGAAAACAAAAATCTGAAAATCTGTCAATACTTATTTTTTTGTATTGCAGCATTTGGTGTGTACAGTTCAAATTAAAATTTTGGTGTTCAACTTTGCGTTTTAAAAATACAACAATCCTTCATTTTTCGGTTTGCAAAATTACGGGTTAAAAAAGGAAAAACGAATGGACACAAAAGTACACTGACCGTTTGGACAGAATACGAGACATAGTTCTTTATTAAATTCATAAAAAAGAAACAACAATTACAGGAATAGGCTACTGGATTCTAAACCTCAAAGAAATGCCACAATCAAGACCTCGGAGCAGAAATGAGGGAGAAACACCCAGAAACTTCTTAGGCTATGTGCCGTTCGCAGTATGCGGGTCTTTCCCTGCCATTAATGCTTGGATAACACACCTCTCTCCTTTCATTAATAATAATAACGTCTAGTGCGGTGGGTGGCTGGGATATATATAAACCTACCAATGTCCGTTGCCATGATTTTTGGAATGACTTATCGCGAGAGGAAAAAATGCCGTTTTAGTCGCATAACATCAGTTAATGGAAACGCCGTCATTTCGCAATAGTTTTTTATCGACATTTAGAAAAAAGCGCAAACGTTTTGCGCAAATCTGTAATGGAAACGCGCCTACTGTCAGTCTTTTTACATCAGTGCAAAACTATGGTATGCAGATTAAGACCACTATTCATCAGCATGCATTGATTAATCCCATGGCATGTAGTAAAAAAAAAAAAGGTGCGACCAAATCATATGCGGGTGCGACCAACTGAGAAAGTTGGTAGCACCAGTGCAACCAGCGGAAAAGTTAGTCTGGAGCCCTGCATACATAGGCTGGCATTATGCAAATTATGCAAATTCTTTTTTTTTTTTTTTACAACTGCACAAGTCTAGAGCGGCAGTTTTGGGACACCTTTTCTTTAAGATCTGCAGAAGTAAACCTGCTCAGCCAAGTAGTTCAGACCAATTTCAGACAGCCTTGTTATCAGTTTAGCTATGCCTGACATTTGGTAACCTGACCCGGGGTTTGGTCTAAAATTGCCATAGCTGTGTAACCCTGCATAAGGTCCAAGGGACAACACTCCAAAGTATGTCAGTGTGGATAGTGGGAATCTCTAGGCACCTCACGATTTGATTCAATTACGATTCAGAGGGCTGCGATGCGATGCTAAAACGATTATCGATGCATCTTTTTTTGTGTGTGTGACTACTTGGTACTTTTAAAGCAAAGTATTTATAATGACCCATTAAGAATTTACTTCCAATATCTTTTATTAATAAAACAAATGGAAGTGATTTGGCAAGTCAATTGTAAGGTTACATTTGCCAGCATATGTCCCAAAATTGCAAAGAACCAACAGGAAAAGGAACGTGTCCCTGTACTAGCAGCATACTTGCAGTAAATTAATAAAACTTCAGCATATTCTGAATCTCTAACATAAAATAATAGACTTCTAATCAACATCCTCCTGTTATGTGCAATGAGCAATATAATCCTTCATACAAAAAATAAATAGGCTAAACATTTTGTTGAATCACAATCAGCTCTCATACAAAAATAATGCTTGTGGACTTATTTATTTATATTCTGAATAATTAGTAACATACAAAGCTGCTCTTACACACAAATAAATAATAAAGAGTCTAAGACGTATGACTTGAAATTGTTGCTGTGTATACCACAATCAAAAACAGCTTACAAAAAAAGTAAATGAACATCTGCAGAGAGCAAAGTCAAAATGTAACTTTTTGTGACTGGCATTGCACTGATACACACTGTGACTGTGGAGGGCAGCACAGTAAACCTACGTATAACATGCGTATAACAGATCTGTTTACAGAATATTGATGTGAAAACAAAACAGAAAGCAGCTCTCATACAAAAATAGAAAAAAGACCACAATGAAATTATGCAAATTTTCCATATGTTAGCTTTTAACGAAGAGGGTGCCGTTCGGATTTCGCGCTCAGCCATCATGCGTCTCTGTTATGCGCACGGCACAGACTGGCCGGGATATTGAATATTGACAGTTACGCCTGATGCGTTCCGTAAATATTACGTTGATTTTTTTTTTTTTTTTGAAAATCGATTTTTGACATTTGTGAATCGATTCAGAGTCGTCCACGTCTGAATCGCGATGCATCTAAGAATCGAATTTCCCCCCAACCCCAAGCTGCATATCTGAACAGCTTTGGTTTGTAGACACTGAGAAAAAAGACACTTGGGGAAGTCTGATCCTACATCGGCATTCAATGAAGCAGTAGCCTACATCTTACAGCAAGTACCTTTGTGAGAGGTGAGAGCCTGTATGAACTGCTGGATCAGGTAGTTGAGTCAGCAACAGACGGGAAATAGTCTGGCTCAGAGTTTCCGCTAGAAAAAAATGGTGCCGGTCAAAGTGACCGGCAGAGGTTTCGTTTAACGGACATTTTGATGATATGCCGGTCAAATATCGCCTCTTAATTAGTCAAGTTGAGGAAAACTGGAGGCAGGCTATGTAACTTAAAAAATGACATAATCAGGCCGTATAGAATGCAACATGTTATTATTAGCTCAACTTTCAAAAAGACGGAAAAAAAAACATGAAAGTCCGATTGGCGTCAATCAACACCAATTGTTTTTTTACTATTTCACACACATTCACTTTTTGAAACATTGAGGCACGGATGTACCTAATACAAATCAATAAAACATCTCCAGTTAACTAGCAGATCATTCATTTAGTTCGCTATTAAATAAGAGATCTAGCGCTAAAATCAGTTGTTTTTGAAATCAAGCTGAGCGCTCGTGTCCGCTGCTATTTGCAAGGACGACGCGCTGCGCGAATTGCGCAATCTTCACTCGGACGCGCGTTTCAATCTATCGCCGTTGCGGACAGGCGAATAGAGCAGCACATACAATTTATACAAGACGAAATAAACTTTAAAG